ATGCTGCAAAGTCTTTAGATTTTTCCATGGCGATTTTCGTTTAAAAATATATACCCTGGGAATCATGAATAGCAAAGGATATGCTATTGCAGAATGAGTTCTTACCGATTCTGGTCGCATTTGCTTTGCCCACATCAAAGTTAAACGGTTCAAAGTTCCACAATTTCTAAAAATATAACAGCCACTACTGCTACATTTATATTTGTTTTTTCCATGACTGTATGTTCCCCTGTTCAGCGCTTAAGAACGGCATTTGTTGGGAACAACAAGCAGCGCGAGCCGTGCAAACAGTGCAAACAGCGCCAGGGTGTATCCTGGTCTAGATGCCTCTCTCTTTCTGTCTCTCGCGCTGCTGTTTGCATTTGGGCTTATTGGCACATTTAACCCTTAGTCTGCTGGCTGTGCATAAATTTGGCCAGGCGATAAGCAGTATGCAGTCCAAAGTCGAAAGTCGGCAGTCGGAGAGGGGAGAGGGAGGCTCCTGCTGGCCTGGACGTTGCCCAATTTAACCTTAAAAGGTGCTACCATTAGCTGCCTCTAATGGCCAACTCCTACCCCACTCCGCTGCTCCTCCCCTTCGATCGTGGCCCCATGATATGCGAAATTTCTGTGGCTTTTCCTCTCATTTAAAATATTTTCTGGCTGGCTGGTTTCAATGGAAATTGGAAATTTCTGCCTAATTGTGTGCGCGTCTTTTGCGTGCTGCAGCCTCCCTCCTTTTAGGGAGTTTTCTTCGTTTTCATTTGGCCATATGGTAATTCGATTGGCTTTCCCGGCATCGCAGCCAAATGTGAGTGCAATTAGCTCTTTAGCTGGGAAATTATGGCATGGAAATGTGCGTAGAGTCGAGGCTTTCCCTCACAGGCTTTTCGGGCGGAGCAAGTTGATCCAGTTGCATGCAGCCGCAACAATTTACGAGATGTGCGCAATGTTTACAGTTTTTTTTGTTTTTTTTTTTGTTTTTTCTTTCGAGCTGCTAATTTTTTATCGACTCCTTGTTGCATGTAGCAGCACAGAGAAACACAACATTTGCATAGTAGACACCAAACTGTCGCCATTGGTGCTCCACCTCCACCTCCTCCTGCTGGGGTTGGGCTGAAAAATAAAAAAGTAAAATATGCAAATTCATTGGAATATCATAAATATTCAAGTATCTCTCTACAAGTATCTCTCCTACTCTCTTTTCTTTCGTTGTGCGCGCCGCTCCGCACCAGCTCCAGCTTCAGCTTCTTTTTCTTGGTCTACATTTTTGTTGTTTAGCAGCCTCCAACATTTTCTTATTTTATTTTCAAATTTGTTAATCTTATGTAAATGGATGTTGCGTGACTCGACCGATATCTGGTTGTAGGTCCGTTGTTGCAACAATTAAACTCAATTAAGCCATTTCTTTCGCTGCGGCCGGCCCCCCATCTGCTGCTGTCTTCCATTTAAAAGTTTGGAATTTCTAGGAAAGCGAAAGCACAAATCTGACTAAATAATAATTGTTTAATTTGATTCAATGAACGGAGACCATTCGAGCGTAATTAAGGCAAATGGCAAACTCAATTGAAGCCCAAAAACACACACAAACAATATCAGAATTTTACTTAATTCATATGTACATAGGTAGTAAATATATGCAACTCTTTTAAAACCCGCTCTTTAAATAATTTACTTTACTTTAACATTTTCATTTGCCTGCGAGTATTATTTGTTGAACAAAAAGTTTTTTCAGGCTGAAAATTCAGCCGCAGGGTTGGTGGATGGGGGTGTTTCACAGACGTGCATAATGCAAAAAAAGGGGTTTTTATTTTATTTTTTTGCAACTTTTATTCGTGTCGTTGATGTTGCTTTTGCACGTAGTGCGGCCGCAGGAAACAAAAGAAAGGAAGGCGAACGACAGTTTGGACAAAAATGCATGGGGTATGCAGAATGTACGCCCATCCAGTGGTGGGGTATATTAGATTCGTGTAGATGTATGTAACAGCCAGAAGGAAGCATTTCCTAACCCCATAGTATATATTCTGGATCGGATCATTAAGTAGTTATGAATCAAAGAGAATGGATGCAATGACAGCTATAATTGGGGGCTGCTTTCATGAAGCGAAATGCAAATTAAATTTCCATAACAATTACCACTTGAATGCGATGCCTTTGTGTACAATTTTAAATAAATATTAATTAATTATTGGTTTTATTTATTGGAGTCAATCGTATTTCAGTGGGTGTCAGTGCCATGCCGCATTCCACATTTTCATAATTAAAACCATTCGATTGATAACCAGAGAAGAAAGAGAAGACCCAGAAGTGGATAAAGAAAGGGAGAAAGAAAATCAATTGACACAATTTTTGTACTATTTGGGAGCACAGATAACCTCATTGTATGCACCAATCTCCTCTCTCCTCTCTCCTTTCCCCTCCTCACTCCTCTCTCTGGTTCTTTCCCTTTTGGACTTTCGAAATTGGATCTATCTCTGCCCCACACCCCGCTTTCGGATCTCTCCCCCACCCTCGGGCAGATGCCAAAGAAGTGCACAATAAAAATCAATTCGAGCAATAAAGTTTTTAATTGGATCCAGCTCCCTGCTGGCTCTTGCTCGCTCTCTGCCTCGGCCGGGCCATAAAATTCGAAATTTAAATTGTTGCAAGAGATGTCTCCATTTGATTTAGAGCCAAATGCCAGTCTTAATGGCCAGAAATTTCTCTATCTGAAATAATTATGGAATATGCTAAAAAAAAAAAAAAAAACGGGAAAGAATAACCAACCCTGAAGCAGCACACAAAAAATGAAAATGCGGGCAGTCTCGTGAATTGAGATGCATACGTAATAATGCAGGTACCTCTCTCTCTCATACTCGTATACCCATACCCTGCACTGCAGCTGCACGGGACAAAAGGCACATTTCCAGCTGAAATTGAAGTGGATTTTGCATCTCAACTTTGAAGAGAAAATGCCAATCAAATGTTAAAAGGGCAACCAAGAAGCAGAGTACCCTAGTCCAGCGATGGTAGGAAGCCAGGATTAAAACGTACATATATTTACATACATACATATTTACATATGTACATATATGGACCGATTACAGGCATTTTCTTGCCTTAACAGATCCTAAAAGCCGACTGTAAAAAGTGAAATGAGTGGGAAATGTTTATAAAAATACAATTTCATCAAGTGGAATGTGTGTGTGTGGCAGTCAAGCAACCATCCTCATCCGCCCACACATCTGCACACCCATGGAGGGTGGGGGGAGAAAAGAGTTCTTTGGGTTCGGCTTCATCGGAGCACAGGAGCCGAAAGCAATAACCATAAAAGCCGCACGTCTCGATGCTCAAATGTTCGAATAAAACTTGAAATAGTACTACACTGAGAGAAAAGAGGTACTGAAACTGGGAATGCACTAGTAAAATTAATTACCATATACAGATGGTATTGTGGGACATTTAGGGTCTCAGATAACAGAAGCAGAATGAAACAATATCCTCTGCGGCTGTTGTTTTCCAAGCAGCAAGGGGCTTTTACTTCAAACACTCACTCACTCATTCGCAGCAGAGCCTAATAGACTGACCGGCAGGGATTTTCGGACAGGAGTGGAGTTTATATGAAAACCAACACCAGGAACCCAACTCTCTGGAACCCCTGACTGCGCATAACTTTGGCTAAACTGCAGAGTGCGGGAATGGAAAACAAAGCGAATAAATTGCAGGCATACTTCTCGACTCCACTCCACTGGACGAGTATGAGTGTGAGGCCGAAGATTCCTTCCGAGTTCACGTGCGGTCAATATGCAGAAAATGCGCTCCGTTTGTGGCAGGAAGGAATGGGAAGCGGCTCGGCAAAAGGAAACATGGCAAAACGTGGGGCATGCAGGTGCAGAGGCTACTCCCTAAAAGCATTTCGGAACAGCAGCAGAGACCGAAACTGAATTGAATTGAATGGAATGGAAATGTGATGCGTAATTCATGACACGAAAATCATTTGCCCAGCTGGATAAATCTTGTAAATTAACTCATCAACAATCTGGCTGCCCCAGTGCGGCTCGTCGACTGCTCCTCTGTTCCTACTGTCAGTCAGGTGGCGGAGACTGGGGTTCGATGCCTAATTAAGGCTGCTCAAATATATACACATATATATATATATATATATATATAGAGGGCACCATATAGCCTGCTGGGTACAGAAATTATATTGGCTGCAACGTACAACAAGAGAACTGTACTGTGTCAGAGATGACAAAAATAAAGAGCTAGAAATGAGTCTGACAGCTGAAACAGAAGGACATCAGAGGAAGGAATGAATAATGGATGTGCAGACTGCAAATACTGAGGAAAAACCCAACCATATACCAAGTCATATGATTAGTTACAGCTATAATTGACAGAGCAGCTGTAAGAGTAATAAATGTAGCCAGTATCGATTGGTGTATCGATTCTGAACGACTGATGGTTGTCAGTTATCCGTGCTAATTTCTTATTGTTGCTCCAGCGTAAGTCTCGGTGAAGATAGCTTCGTTCGACTGGGGCTATAAGTGTGCTTTTTTTCTGGCCAAAAGTGGCAGCACTGTTAAGCGAATCCCATTCCCCGCTTGGTCATGGGTTCTCTCTGTGCTTGGGGTTCGACTTCTTCTTTCAGCCAACACTGAAGCATGTTAGCAGCGCTTATTCATTGGCAGGCCTTGCCCCTTCTCACCTTTGGCCACCCAACCAACCCACCCACCCACGAGTCGAGTCGAGTCGGGGCCAAAGTGGAAATGCAAATATTTGCATGCCCTCGTGGCATGCCCCTGCATGCCCTGTCCATCCCCATCCCCATCCGTCCGTCATGTTGGTAGTCGGGAGTTGGCTTCTGCAGCATCAATTATTCAGGCATGTTTACAAGTTGACAGATTGCAGTATGCCTGCCTGGCCTCAAGTGGCGGCCCAGAGGCGTGTCCCCACACCAGACCACCCCCGTACTCGCCTCCCCCTTTTTTGTGATGATGATGAGCCAACCCTCGCCTCCATTAATGTGTTCTTTGTTGCAGCCCTCTCGTTCATCCTGGAGCCCCAGGACGCTGTCGTGCCCGAGGGTCATTCGGTGCTGCTGCAGTGCTCCGGCAGTGCCCCTGCCCGTGGCAAGGGCAAGGCTGCGTCCACACCTGCAGCCGTTCGATGGCGCGGACCCGACGGCCAGGATCTGGGCATTGTGGGGGACACATTCCGCACCCAGCTGAAGAACGGATCGCTGTACATCAGTTCGGTGGAGGAGAACCGTGGTCTGACCGGCGCCTACCAGTGCCTCCTCACCGCCGACGGAGTGGGCAGCGTGCTCAGTCGCCCGGCGCTGGTGGCTATCGCCCGCCAGCCGGATCTCAACCAGGACTTCATCGAGACGTACCTGCTGCCCGGACAGACGGCCTACTTCCGGTGCATGGTGGGCGAGGCCAGTTGGCAGGAGGGCGTCAGACACTCTGTGCAGTGGTTCCGGGACGACATGCCCCTGCCCCTGGACAAGCTGCGGATGGTGGTGCTGCCCAACGGGGCGCTGGAGATCGATGAGGTGGGTGCCTCGGATCGCGGCGCCTACCAGTGCAACGTCACCTCGGGCAGCGTCTCCCGCTTGAGCAGCAAGACCAACCTGAACATCAAGAAGTTGGCCGAGCAGCCGGGCAGCGACCATGCGGTGGCGCCCTCCTTCCTGGTTGGGCCATCGCCCAAAACGGTACGCGAGGGGGACACCGTCACCCTGGACTGTGTGGCCAACGGAGTGCCCAAGCCGCAGATCAAGTGGCTGCGCAACGGCGAGGAGCTGGACCTCAACGATCTCGATTCGCGCTTCTCCATCATCGGCACCGGTTCGCTGCAGATCTCCAGTGCCGAGGACATCGATTCGGGCAACTACCAGTGCCGGGCCAGCAACACCGTCGACTCCCTGGACGCCCAGGCCACGGTGCAGGTGCAGGTGCCGCCCAAGTTCATTCAGGCGCCGCGCGACAAGACCGCCCACGAGAAGGAGGAACTGGAGCTGGAGTGCGCCATCCGCGGCAAGCCCAAGCCCGTCATCAGGTGGCTGAAGAACGGCGATCTCATCACCACCAACGACTACATGCAGCTGGTGTCCGATCACAACCTGCGCATCCTCGGGCTGCTCCACTCCGATGCCGGCATGTTCCAGTGCGTGGGCACCAATGCCGCTGGCAGTGTCCAGGCAGCGGCCCGTCTACGCGTCGTCCCGCCCGGAGGTAAGTTGCTCTAAGATAATCCCCCGTGTCTCCCTCTATGTACTCCCAGCTTGGTGTCCAGCATTTGTCCAGCTGTAGCGGCTTTGGCGCCTCGATTCGGCCTGTAAAATGACTACGAAATTAAATGCCAAGATCCATTTACCTTGCCCCGTACCTGAAAGACCTTTGACCATTTGTACAAACATTATCCTTTCCCTTCATCGTTATCCTGCTTTTGTACATTGATTTTATGTGTCTGTGTGTGTTGTATATTTGTATTTGCATTTGTATTGTTTGTGTGGAGTTTTATTGTAAATTACTGCACTTTCTTTTGCGATTCAATGATGGAGGAATATCCAAAGGAACCTCAACGTCGGTTGCGGCTGTCCCTCCAAGGCAGCTGTTGCGACTCAATAAGTTCTATGTTTACTGGCTGTCTTTGTACAGTTTAGAGAGAATTACTTTAGGCAGCGCCACTGGCTATTAAATGCCAGATTTAATAGCTACTATTGGGACATCCAAAGAGGTCCTGTGAATGGAGTTTTGTGTCGATCCCATGCATCCCATGCATCTCGATTCTTCCAACCGTAACTGGCGCCCATTGAATCGCAAATGAAATCGTCGCTAACATTTAATAATCATCATTATTATCGAGTATCGATTATAATCAACATATATCAATTGAAATCTGATATCGAATGCATTTTTCAATATAATTTATTAACTTTTGTTTTGTTTTATTTGTTCTTTTCTGTTTTCCTTTTCCTTGCCTTATCATTTCCTCGACGTATCATCCGAACCATGCCCGATCCCGTCCCAAAAGTGAAAATCAAACAACGCAAATCCCAAGGCCAGTCAACCAAGTCCCTGCAGACCTCCGACAATCCAATAAAACGACGCCGACTGTACAGCTCGGGGGAGCAGCAGCTGCGCACCAAATCGGGGGCCAGCCTGCGCTCGACTGAGGACGTGGACGAGGACGAGGACGACGACACCCAGGACAGAGATCCCACCACGCGTCTGCTGCTCTCCAAGACCCTGTTGGACAGTCTGCAGCACACGGGCAAGCTGAATCGGCCCGAGCAGCCGCTCAACGATCGCAACTTTCAGCGGAACGAGGCCAGCGCCTTGCGCCGGGAAAGCAGCGCTGGGGACAGGGGCAACGCCAACAATAACAATGACAACAACGACAATGACGATGACGATGACGACGACGACGATGATGATTACGACGATGACGGGACGAAGGAGGCACTGATAGCTGCCTACAAGCATGGCGATGATCCACAGAAAATACTGGCCTCCTGGCAGAGCAACAAGCACAAGAAATCGCAGCAGCAGAATTTGCAACTGCCATTGCCCCCATCCTTCAATTTTGCGTCACCCCCAGATTTAAGCGAGCAGGAAGACAACGCCGCAGCCGCATCCGCATCCGCCGCCGGGAGTGGGAATGTAAAGAGTCTGGGCAGTGGACTCCTGGCCAGGCTGCCCAGCCAGCCCCGGGACCTGGCAGCACAGATAGTCAAGCCGCGCTTTGTCACCCTCAGCTGGGTGGAGCCGCTCCAGAATGCCGGGGAAGTGGTCTACTACACGGTCTACTACAAGATGAACAACAGCGAGAGGTGAGTAAAATCGTCTGTCTGATTGCTTCCTGAATGTGTGGAAAGCGGAAATCAATCCGAGTCTGCCTGTCTGCCTGGCATCCTGTGGCGCAACTTCTCACTTCTCTTCTCATTCGATGCTTTAGAGAGCAGAAAATGGTCACCAAATCGCACGACGACCAGCAGGTGAACATCCAATCGCTGCTGCCGGGCAGAACCTACCAGTTCCGCGTGGTGGCCAGCACCAACTTTGGCAACGGCGAGTCCTCTGCCCCGCTGGAGGTCAGCACCCAACCGGAGGTGAACATAGCCGGACCGCCGCGCAACTTTGAGGGTCATGCACGCAGTCACAGCGAGATCTATGTGCGCTGGGAAGAGCCAGCAGTGACCAACGGGGAGATACTCAAGTATCGCGTCTACTACTCGGAGGTAGGAGGCATCCCTGAGTCCCTGGACACAGCCCTTGAGCCACAGCTAAAGCCCCCCATAATTCAATTTCAGAACGAAAGCGGAGCTGACTTGTACCACGACAGCACCGCCATGGAAGCTCTGCTCACGGAACTCCAGGCCTACACGGACTACGTGATCAGTGTGGTGCCCTTCAATCGGAATGGCATGGGCGATCCCTCGGCCGAGATCAAGGTGAAGACGTACTCCTCAACGCCATCAGAGCCGCCCAACAATGTGACCCTCGAGGTGACCAGTTCCAGTGTGAGTATGCCTTTGGCCTTAGAGCGTATGAAGACCCAGTTAACATGTGTATCCTTGCCGTTGCAGGCCATTACCGTGCACTGGGAGCCACCGGCAGAGGAGGATCGCAATGGCCAGATAACCGGCTACAAGATACGCTATCGCAAGTTCAAGGATGCGCCGCAGGTGAAGAGCACGCCGGCCAACATACGCTACTTCGAGCTGAGCGGACTGGATCGCAGTGCCGAGTATCAGGTGAAGATTGCGGCCATGACGGTGAATGGATCGGGACCGTTCACGGAGTGGTATCGCGTCAATACGCTGGAGAACGATCTGGACGAGACGCAGGTGCCGGGCAAACCGATCTGGATCAATATACAGCCGGGCGCGCAGAACATTGGCCTGCACTGGGGTCCGCCGCAGCAGCCGGAGATCAAGATACGCAGCTACGTGCTGGGCTGGGGCCGGGGCATACCCGATGAGAACACCATCGAGCTGAAGGAGACCGAACGCTATCACGTGCTCAAGAATCTCGAGTCCAACACGGAGTATGTCGTCTCGTTGAGGGCGCGCAATGTGAAGGGTGACGGTCCGCCGATATACGACAACATCAAGACCCGAGACGAGGAGCCCATCGATGTGCCAGTGCCGCTGGAGGTGCCCGTGGGCCTGAGGGCCATCACCATGTCGAGCTCCTCGATCGTTGTCTACTGGATCGACACGATGCTGAACAAGAACCAGCACGTGACCGACAACCGCCACTACACGATCAGCTACGGCATCACGGGGTCCAGTCGCTATCGCTACCACAACACCACCGATCTCAACTGCATGATCAACGACCTGCGGCCCAACACCCAATACGAGTTCGCCGTCAAGGTGGTGAAGGGACGCCGCGAGTCCGCCTGGTCCATGTCCGTGCTGAATTCCACCTATCAGAATGTGCCAGTGACGCCACCGCGCGAGGTGACCGTACGCCTGGATGAGGAGAATCCGCCCACGGTGATCATCCAGTGGATGCCGCCCGAAGCACACAGTCGGCCAGATCACCGGCTACAACATCTACTACACGACGGACACCACGAAGCGGGATCGAGACTGGTCCATTGAGGCCTTTGCCGGCGAGGAGACCATGCTGATGCTGTCCAACCTGAAGCCGTACACCACCTACTACTTCAAGGTGCAGGCACGCACCACCAAGCAGCAGGGCAACAACAACGCCCCCTTCTCCGCCCTGGTGTCCTACACGACCACAGCCGCGGTGATCATGCAGGAGGCAGACACCATTGCCAAGGGCATCGACAACGAGAAGCTGCTGTACATCATCATCGGAGCCACGGCCGTGGTGCTGCTGGTCGTCCTCATTGGCATACTGCTTCTCTGTCGCCGCAAGCCCCAATCCTCGCCGGAGCACACAAAGAAGAGGTAAAGTCTCAAAGGCAATGCCCCTGTGTCAGTTGTTAATCTGTTTTTGCAGCTATCAAAAGAACAACGTGGGAGTGCCAAAGCCCCCAGATCTATGGATACATCACGATCAGATGGAGCTGAAGAACATTGACAAGGGTCTGCACACGGTCACGCCCGTCTGCAGCGATGGGGCCTCCAGTAGTGGAGCCCTGACCCTGCCCCGTTCGGTGGTTCACAGCGAGTACGAGGTGGAGACGCCTGGCGGAGTGCCTGGACATGTCACCAACTCGCTGGACAAGCGCTCCTACGTGCCCGGCTATATGAGTGAGTAGCAGAACCCTTAGTCCTTGGTCGGACTCATCATGTGCCGAAATCCCGTTCCCCTCCCAGCAGCCACTTCGATGAACTCTACGATGGAGCGTCCGCAGTATCCGCGGACCCAGTACAGCCACCAGAACCGCTCGCACATGACCATGGAGGCGGGCCTCTCGCAGCAGAGTCTCTCGCAGCCCAACCAGAACGGCTCGCTGGCCCAGACGCCCGAGCACCCCTATGGGGGCTACGATGCCAACTTCTGGTGAGTTTAATTCCTGGCTAGATCTAGTATCCCAATCCCTATCCGCCACTCAATCCGAGCTAGTTCAAAATAGTTCAGAAGCACCACAAAATTCTCAGCTAAATTCGAAACAGTTCTTTGCGTCTCCGGTTTTGGGAAATATTATAATTAAAGCTCAGGCATGGGCACAAGATCGCGATGGGGTCGTATTGATGCCCGTGTGACCGTCAATCTGGTGCGGGAGCCATCGATGGGTGTAATAAAGCTGAATCGACGGACATTGGAGCGTCGCGTGGATCACCAGCTGATGCTGATGTCGTCCCCGGTGCCGTTTGTCAACTTTATGAACAAGTTCCGCCTGGACGAGATTCTGATCAATCAGCAGGCCAGAGGGGTCTTCAGCATGCGCGACTCGGCCACCGTTACGGAGCTGGCCAGCTACACGTGGAGCAGCATGTCCGCCAGCGACCGTCTACCGTACACCCGTCTGGCCATGAAAGCCCGGGAGATTCAGAAGGCGCGCAAGCTTTACTTCCAGGGCGGCAGGAGGGCCCTCGCCCATAACTGAGCAATCGTACCACTCCCGTTCGAATGATTTTTATGAATTTGTTTGCAATAAACTTAAAGCACAGGAAGCAACTCTTGGAATTAACTAGATCTAATTCGTTGTTGTCCTTTCTCTTTCTCTCTCTCTCTCTCTCTCTCTTTGTCTCTCTCCAAATAAAACCTTGACAGCAATGCCGGCAATGGAGCTGCTGGCAACGGCTGTGTGTCCACCATTGAGAGTGCCAAACGCGGGCATCCGCTCAAGAGTTTCAGTGTGCCAGGGCCACCGCCCACTGGGGTAGCCACGCCCATTAATAAGCACAGTGAGTATTTTATCTACAATTGCAGCTTGTGTCTCAGCACTGACGCTTTCTTTGTTTCAGCTCCTGCCGTAACAATACGTCCACAGAACCAGTCGCCCTACAAGAAGCCATCGTTCTCGGCCGCCACGCCCAATCGCTTGCAGGGCGGCGGGTCGGTGGCACACTCAACCGACGAGATCCAGAGACTGGCACCGAGCACATCCACCGAGGAGCTCAATCAGGAGATGGCCAATCTGGAGGGTCTTATGAAGGATCTGAGCGCCATCACGGCCAACGAATTCGAGTGTTAACAGTGAAGCAGCTCCTGCACCGCCCCCCGCCCCCCACTACAAGTATTAGTCGACAAAACAATTTATGTTACTTGTTTTTTAGTTTCTGTTTTATTATCGATTAACCTCGAACCACACCCGCTGGCAGCATTCGAGTTGGTTTGAGCTGAGCACTGGCCAGGTCCGCATTTAGTTTTAGTTAACCCATGTGCGATATAAATGAATGATCCGATCGAATGATGATAACTGTAAATACGAACGACGCCGCCATATATATATGTAAGCCTAGATGCACACATTCATAACTATAAATAGCATTTTAGCATAGTTAGTTAGCGATTAAGCAACAACAACAACAACTGTGTAAAAAAACAAATGCCAGAGCAGAAGTGCGTTCATTGTGAGCAGGACTGACCCTCTCCTGGCTATCATATGACATTTCATATTTATCACACTGCAGCATCTTCATTTCATACGCATGCAGATTCGCTTTAGTCCTTAAGTCTACATATACATAAAGTACATATGCCATTCTAGATGCATATTCATATGCATCTGCATCTACGTCTAAGCTACATTTCATACTATTAATGCCCCTAAGAACGTAACTTTTATGCTAATATACATACATACATATGTATTACACTCACAAAAACAATCAAAACATTCGGAATCAATTTGTATCTTAAAGTGTCTTCTGTAGTTTAACCTTATCCTTTCTCTTCAACTTATTCATAAAGTTGGAAACGTGCCATTTATTGATTTGTCTCCTTCCACCCCCACACAACACAACACAACACACTACACACAACTACTTAAGCTATAAAGTCAGGATATATATTCTAGACTGTAAGCCAGCAAAGCATTTACGATTTAAACTCTACTATTGATAGCATTTACATATACATTTTTACTGCGAAACGATGTAAGGAAATTAGCTCTTTTAGGAGATTTTGATACGTTCGAAATGCGTATTGCCTGAAGAGTCGCCTGAAGAGTGGTTTTATTTATTGTTCACTAAATTGTATTCAACTTTGCTATGCACACTATAATCTCATTGGACATTGAACGGCAAACTCAACTCAAGAGAAAATATATGTATGCAACCAAACCAAAACAACAAAACAAAATAAAATGCACTAGGAAAACATTTTAAAATTGTGAAATTTGTAATGTATCGAACGTAAATCTTTGTAATCAAAAGTGAAATTGATAAATATATGAACAAATTGTGGAAAATAATCGGAATTTTTGCTCTTGCTTTTGAAGATGGAAATTTCAGCGACGATAGATGCACCAATTCATCTGCCATATGCAAACTTAAAATAACCACTCGATTCTCGGCCACGATCAGGACTCTAGATTCACGCATGGGCGCCACGCCTCGCCTCGCCCAATCATTTGCATCAAGAACATCAAGGGTTAAGGACTGAATTGCCATACCTTCGCCATTTCTTATCCGATTCAAACGCTGGGCTGGATTACCTTTTTTTTCTAAAGAAATTCTTTTTATTTGCGCCATTTTGGAATAAATGCTGCATTATGCACAGCAAAATCAAGCAAAGCGTTTTCCTTTTTTTTTTCTTAAACAAATCTTTTTTTCCACAATTTTACAGTAAAAACGGGCGTGGGTCGCCGGGGACGCGACCACTTTTTACCAGAGTATATACATTTTTGATCTTATTTAAAAATTTTACATTTAGCATTTTTTTGCTACATCATTAATCTAAATATTTAACTGGTAAAAATTTAAGAAAGAGCTTTTAGATTCTGTTGTTTTCGCACACAAAGCTTTTAATTAAGGCAGAGTGGGCGAGCGAGAAGGAAAATGAGTTTTGTTGTTGTTTCCCGCTACGCGGTGGGCGGGGGGGACAGGGAGGGGGACAGGGGAAGCAACTGAAAATTTATTTCTTCATTCTGGCTATAATTATGATCCGATCTGATTCAGATTCGGCAGTCTGGTAGGTATGGGCATTCTCTACGATACTGCGTTTTTAGTTTTATCGTATCTTTAAAAATGTGCCTCCACAGATTTTCGTCCTTTGTGGGGGCGGAAGGGGGCGGGGCGATATTTTAATAAACTTGTAGCAGTGTGATATCACATGAGTGTGGAAACCAAATTTGGTTGCCCTAGCTCTTATAGTCTCTGAGATCTAGGCGCTCAACAAGACGGACAGACAGACAGACGGACAGACGGACAGACAGACATGGCTCTATCGACTCGGCTATTGATGCTGATCAAGAATATATATACTTTATGGGGTCGGAAACGTTTCCTTCTCTGCGTTACACACATCCAATTTTACCACAAATCTAATATACCCCTTAACTCTTTTTTGAGTACGGGTATAATTACATTTTAAAATTGTTTTGATTTTTTTTTAAATTTAGCTGACATTAATTAAATATATGTATAACTGGTAAACATTTAAGAAGAGCTTTTAATTTTTTTTGTTTTTTTCCCTATTAAATGTTGAAAAAAGGGCTAAATAGACCAGTCTGAAAGTATGCCATAATTTTTTTAATAAAGCAACCCCCAAAAGTATGCCATGGTTTTTAAAGATACTATATCTGATTTGGTTTTAATGCCATTTAATATCCGGAACAGGAGGGCATTTGGAGGTCGATTTTTTCTACTCTTCTTTTGTCTAAATATCGATTATTTATGGGCTGGGCGTAGATTGTCTTTTAGTGAATGGGAGAGTCCTGCCAATCGATTGGCACCCACAAAATTATGAAGATTCATACTATCCTGGATAGCAGGTCCTTTGCCGATCTGGCACTATTTTGCAGAGATACGCGAAATATTGGCTGTGCATATAGTTTAAAAAGGGGAGTAAGGGAGCCCTAATCACTTAACTGATTGTATTGGATTGATTGTCGGGACAGTTAGCATGTGTTTCTATAAAAAAATACTCCAATTGAAGAAGAACCTTAATACATAACTCACTCGAAATCAAAAAACTATTTTTTATACATTATGCATTAGAGCTAATCTGCTTTTACTGAAGCCTAATGGCTCCATGCATAGTATTAAAAAAAACTTCCAGTATTTTTCCGCATAGCTATTTAACTTCCATTAAGCTTCCAAAAACAGTGTAATTACTAAAAGAGCAAAAACAATTGACCGAATTCATAGTTAAATGTTCTGCAGATATTTATTTTATATCAGTTTGGATACATGTAGTATATGCACTAAAGTACATAATATTATTCTGGATGAACACGAATTTCTAAAATTATTGTGAAGGTGTTTTCCGCCTAGAAGAATAATTGTAAACCATTCAAACAATTTATGAGCCGACTATTGTTGGCCCATTGCTTTTATTGTAGCTTTGAAAACTTTCGTACCTATCTGCTACATTTATTGTTCATCTCTAGCGAAAAACACAGACACTTTCAGTTTCCAAACTTTGTTGGTGGCAAATCGCAATTGGATCCTATAGTCACCCTTAGGAAGTGGCAAAGTTTTCAGTAAATCGTCTGTAAATTCCAAGTTATCCATTATGACGTCATGCTTAATTATGGTAATAAATGAATCGAATATTAATTTTTTTCACCATGTTGATGATATGCTAACTCACATTGTATGGACAAGTGTGATTTACATTTGACCGAGACATAATAGCATTGATGACAAGCCCTTCGAAGGACAAATCATTCACATTGGCCATTAGCTGACAGAAATCCTTGCTGACGTTGTAGAGAAATGGACGCCAGCCATTATAGCGCCGATCGATGCTCCAATTCATCTGTTATGGAAAAACTCCAAATAACTATGCCAGTGTCGGCCACAATCTGGTTTCTATACTCACCCATACATTTGTGATGGGCAATTTTAGCATATTGAGGTGTATGTTGATCCCAACGCGTCCCCTAGCGAGGAGCTTCAGTTTGCATTTCGATACCTTCGCAAAGGACTCATCGTGTGACTCACACATGAGGTTGGTAAATCTAGAGTTCGACCTCCGACCCTCGCCCACCACAATGGAGCAGAGCACAATGGCTGCGAGCACAAAAAGCAACCGGACAGATACAAGTTCCGCAAGCATTTCAGTATTACTAATCGCTCACAAAGAAGTCAAAACGGTTTTATACCCATTAAGCATTTTGTTTTAGGGGTAATCAAGTTATAGCTCAATGATTTCGATATCCTCAATAGGAATAACCGAATAATGTATCCGATAAAAACATATATTATGGCGATTACGGCTGCGTTCACGGAAACCTAATGAGTTTTTTTTTTTTTTTTAAACCTCCGATCAGTTACCCCCGCCCACTGATATAGCTGTAGCTAATGTAACAATTAAATATTAATATATATGTATGTAACATTCGAAAATCTTCATTTAATTTATATCCATACAAAGTTCAGGTGTCAGGAGAGTAGTGTATGTGAAAATTCGGATTGTTAGCAATGCTATACGTTTCCCCATCATTAAAAAAGGATTATCTGCAAAACGCAATACCTTTCTGCTCCGGTTATGGTTCATCTCTCGTGAAAAACACAGACACTTGAACTCTCCAAACTTTATACGTGGCAAACCGGAGTTGTAACTTATAGTCTCCCTGGGGAAGTGGCAAATTTTTCAGCAAATCGTCTGTAAATTCCAGATTATCGATTACGATGTCGTGCTAAGTGATGATAAGACAAGGAATTAAATAGGTAACAACTTCTTCACTTTGCACTGATCCATCAGCACTCCACTTACATTGTAGGGACAGGTGTGATTTAAGTTAGATCGAGTCATTATAGCTCTGATGACAAGCCCTTCGAAGGAAATATGATTCACATTTTCCATTAGCTTGCAGAAATTCGAGCTGATGTTGTACAGGAATGGACGAAAGCCATTATAGCGCCGATACATGCTCCAATTTATCTGTTAAAAGCAAAACCAATATAGCCAATAGCCATACGAGTGTCGGCCACAATTTAGATTCTCTATACTCACCCACACGTTTTCGATGGGCAATTGGAATAGTTGCAAGTGCATGTGGACCCCAGCGCGTCCCCTAGCGAGCAGATTGAGTTTGCATTTCGAGAACCGCCCATACGACTCGTTATATGTCTCGCACATGAGGTTGGTAAACCTAGAGTTTGACTTCCGACCCTCGCCGCCCAGTTTGGAGCTGAGAAGCATAACAGATGCGGCCACAAGAAGGCACCGGACAGACACAAATACCGCAACCATTGGCGTAAAACTAATCACACTTAGAAATGGCAACATCATTTTAAATATATTAAGAAGTGACTGTACAGTCCAACTATACGCTAATGTTGATTACATTCCAAAATCAATTTGTATCTAAAAAGTGAGTATGAAATTGTACTACATATAACTCTATATATATTTAAAATGATGTTGCCTTTTTTAAGAGTGATTAGTTTTACGCCAATGGTTACGGTATTTGTGTCTGTCCGGTGGCTTGGCTTCTTCCATTTCTCATTGAACTGCTGAAAGCACGAAACCAAAGAGCAACGAAATGTTTTCTCTTTCAAAAGTTTACTAAGAGGCCGGGTCTGGTGGCTCATTGGAACCGTTGTTGCCGCTAGTTTGTATCGGGCAGCCGTTGAGTGTGGAACGAATGCTCAGTTGTTGCAAGCGGACTCAAAGAGCTAGAAGCCAGTTTCATTCACGCCAGTGTGTCGGTGTATTGGTGTATCGGTGTGTCGGTGTGTGTCAACGCAAAAGCAACGTCAACACAAGACAATTGGAAATCGAGGCATAAAACGAGGGAAATCTGATTTGAATTTAAATCAGTTAGCTTTGGCTGTAACCGAACGCACACACGCACAAATCCAGACCGAAAATATAATAATGAACAAGCTTCCAATGAGTGCTTGGCGAGGCACAGCCTCCACAGCCAGTGCATCCAGCCTGAGGCGAACTGTGACCAAGATTAGTGGCACTGGCCTCCTGCCAAATGAGAAGCAACGTCTGGAGATCCGCGACAGCTCCACGGGCGTGGCCGCCTGTCCCCATTTGCTGGAACAGGAGGAGACAGCAACGCTGACAACGCCACGAATACACTCCACTCCCGAATGGCAGAACGCACTGCCATACAATCAGATACCTGGACCCAAGCCCCTTCCCATTCTGGGCAACACCTGGCGGTATGTAGTAGTCGTATAAGACTCGCGGAACACAAAAAACGAAAGACTCGAGCAGCGAACTTACTTTCACTCTGCGAATTGCAATTCCATTTCCATGCACTCTCCGTTTCACTTGACCCAATTAAGTGTGAATGTTGTGAATAAGTGCTCATAATGATGCTGGTTTTATAGCCATTAATTTATTTTGGCTTTGCCGTAGCGTCCAAAGCACGCAAGCATTCCACTGGCCGTAACGAAGTTTGTTTTGCTTGTTTGCTGCCTAAATATTTAACAACGGCTCGAATGATCGTTTCCAATGATTCTTGTTGAATGTGCGTGTGGTGTGGGTTTCCCAGTACGAGTGCGAGTCCGAGTACGATTCACACCTGCCCTGCCCCTACGGAAATCACCTAATCACTCCCTCGGCTAATCGCTTAGCAATCCGTTCCGACTTAAAATCCGTTCCACACTACGTCATCCCGTTGATTAGCGTTCAATTAGCGCCGTATTCAAGGTCAGACATATCATAACATGTGAAATTTTGGTGCATGCTCCACTCACGTATTATTTTGCGCTTTGGGAAAAAGTCAATGCATCCATCAATTCCATTGTCGTAGAGATTTGTTCGCCATTTGTTCGCCATTTGTTCGATTTGTTTGTCATTAGCCCTAACCTTGGCGGTTCTCCTTCACAGTCTGATGCCAATCATTGGCCAATACACCATCTCGGATGTGGCCAATATATCGTCACTGCTCCACGATCGCTATGGCAGAATTGTGCGTTTTGGTGGACTCATAGGTCGGCCGGATCTACTCTTTATCTACGATGCCGACGAAATCGAAAAGGTAAGTCTCAACATCGTTTTAACTTGGAACACAGCCAAGACGTACAATACGTAGCTTCTGCTGCGGTCTTTCCGCTTGACCAACGAAGCACGAAGGCACCAAAGCATTACAGCAATTTCTGGCACTTTGCGACGCATCCAGCTATGTAGTACAAATTACTGCCAGTTGTCGGATGTTAAACACGCAATTTAAACCACGCAATTTCTGATATTTCATATTTCAGTGCTATCGCAGCGAGGGGCCGACCCCCTTCCGGCCATCGATGCCCAGTCTGGTCAAGTACAAGAGTGTGGTGCGCAAGGACTTCTTTGGGGAGCTCGGCGGCGTGGTGGGCGTGTAAGTGGAACAGCTCATGAATAACACGCATCCGCGTATAACACTGATCCACCGATTCATCATTTTCAATGCAGCCACGGCGAGCCTTGGCGTCAGTTCCGGTCGCGTGTCCAGAAGCCAGTGCTGCAGCTATCCACCATCAGGCGCTACTTGCAGCCCCTGGAGGCGATCACAGACGATTTCCTGGTGCGCTGCGAACACCTGTTGGATGCTAATCAGGAGCTGCCCAAGGATTTCGACAACGAGATACACAAATGGTCGTTGGAATGTGAGTCCTGCTCGTTGCTCCTGACTTTGCTTACGTTAATATTCTTCTGCACGTCAGGTATTGGACGCGTGGCCTTGGACACGCGTCTGGGGTGCCTGGAACCAAATCTCCCTCCCGACTCGGAGCCACAGCAAATCATCGATGCAGCCAAGTACGCCCTGCGGAATGTGGCCACTCTCGAACTGAAGGCTCCCTACTGGCGCTACTTTCCGACGCCCCTCTGGACCCAATACGTGAAGAACATGAACTTTTTTGTGGGGTAAGTGCGCACAATAGAATACCTAGAAGCAGTTAGAATACCCCGTTCCGCTCTTCCAGCGTCTGTATGAAGTACATACAGAGCGCCACAGAGCGATTGAAGACACAAGATCCCAGCCAGCGTGCCGGCGAGCCCTCGCTGGTGGAGAAGGTGATTATGTCGGAGAAGGACGAAAAGATAGCCACCATAATGGCGCTGGACTTGATTCTAGTCGGAATTGACACCGTAAGATTATATGAGTCTCTGGAGTATTCAATAGAAACCTAAAAATTACCACTTCCAGATATCGATGGCGGTCTGTTCAATGCTCTATCAACTGGCGACGCGTCCCGAGGAGCAGCAAAAGGTTCACGAGGAATTGAAGCGGCTGCTACCAGACCCAAACACACCGCTCACCATTGCGCTGCTTGACCAGATGCACCATCTGAAGGCATTCATCAAGGAGGTCTTTCGCATGTACAGCACCGTGATTGGAAATGGACGCACACTGCAGGAGGACAGCGTCATCTGCGGCTACCAGGTGCCGAAGGGAGTGCAGGCTGTCTTTCCCACCATTGTGACCGGCAACATGGAGGAGTATGTAACAGACGCGGCCACGTTCCGACCCGAGCGTTGGCTGAAGCCACAGCATGGTGGCGTTCCCGGCAAACTACATCCGTTTGCCTCGTTGCCCTACGGCTATGGTGCCCGCATGTGCCTGGGGCGGCGATTCGCTGATCTGGAGATGCAAATACTGCTGGCCAAGCTGCTGCGAAACTACAAGCTGGAGTACAATCACAAGCCGTTGGACTATGCCGTCACATTCATGTATGCGCCGGATGGACCGCTCCGGTTCAAAATGACGCGCATTTAGTTGCCTCATCAGTTGTAGATTTAAGATTTCGATTTTATACTCGTTTGTATGCATGTAGTTTGTTGTAAATATTTGCTAAATAAATATGTCTTAACAATACATGGATTGCGAATACCTTGCTTAATCGGAAGTAAGGCACAGCCGGACTACCCAATGTTGACGATGATTAGCATTTCCTCATAAGAGTATGTTTATTTTCTCTTCCACATGCGGTACCATTGTTTTACTGTTTTCAAACTTTTATCGGCATCTGCTGCCGTTTCGCCGCATAGTTCGTAAACAATATCAGCTTTGTACGACTCGCGGGCCTCTTCCAGAATAGTGCCAAAGATTTCACACTCAATATTCGATGAGAGTTTCTTCTTATTGTAGTTGCGTTCTTTTAAGCGATCGTAGAGCGTTTTATTGGGGCAGGTGACGACGAAGACAGCTTGAAACCAACGCTCTGGAAAGAAATCGCAGCCGTGATACTCCACGATGTTGCCGCCCTTCTGCATCAGCGGTTCCAAGTGGTCCATAAGCTAAGAACATTCAATTATAGTTCAGATTCTTGGAAATATTTCTAGCAGTAATACCTTGTCTTCATCTAGGATGGGACAATCGTATTCTTCGTCGTGCTCCTCAATGTAGTCATGTTCCTTGGCAATCTTTGAGCAGTCCAACCAGGTGAACTTCAATTGTTCGGCCAAACGCTCGCACAAATATGATTTTCCCGCTCCCGGTGTGCCTGTGGGTCCAACAACATGTTAAAATCGTACAATTATTTGCAACAAACATACCAACCGGTGATTAATATGTTTGGCTTCGCATCTGCGTTTGGTTCCGACATCTCATAGCCCGTAATATATTCCTATTTTTATATATTGTTTACTTTTGTTGAAAACGTGCAGATACCGCCTATCGGTGTTAGGGTTGCCACAATCACAATGTGATCGAGCAATATATCGAGTCGAACTATCGAAAACCCTGGCGCTGGAACTAATTAATATTTAAATCGCAAGTAGCTTTTACTAAAATATTTCGTACAACAAATGTATAATCAAGACAAAAAAAATGATCAGGTCTTTGAATAAATAGCACCCATAAGTTGGGACTTTTTTTCTTGCCATATTTATCTGGCAATCAAATATTATATCGTACTTGTAGATGAGATGTTCCTTTTCCGTTTTGAACCATTGTTCACAGTTTGCCTTCTTCTCTCTTTTCGAAGTCCTCTTTGCGAGCAGAACTCATAGATTCATGTGTGGTTGTATCTCTTCTGCCGCTACTTCTTTTCACAATTTTTGCACAGATTTGTCGCTGCTGTAAGTAATGGTTTTCGTGATATTTTTGTAATTGTTTTTGCATAATATTAAATGAAAAAAAAAATAGGAGCAGCAGGAAGAATGTCGGGAATAATTTCTGCGGACAGGAATAATCCTGAGATTAAGTCTGAGGTGGATTTGGAGCAGCGCCAACACGTTCCCTACATACTAAATGGAGAGCTGTACAGCATTCAAAGCCAAATTGGGGATAATGTTGTGGTCAAGTGCTGTAATTGTCCGCCGGATCGAGTGTATCGCGGCAGCGTGCGTTCTACGGGAAACTTTCATATGCACATCAAGGTAGAAGCGACATAACACTCCGCCATTTCGAGTAATTGACCTATGATTCCGATACAGCGTCGCCACACATCGTTGTTGGGGAAATTGCATGAAATGAAGGTGACTGCCCTAGAGGAGCGCCGTGATCGAATTATGAAGAACCGGGCCATTGAGAAACCCCGTAGGAAGAGACGATCCACATCGTTGTGCAAGCCTGAAACAACAGGACCGGCTGCGGCGGCGCTTGAGCCGGTTGCACCGACTACTATAGCTACGGGAACGTCCTCGACGCCGACGGGAAATGAAACGCACGAGTTGAAAATAAAAACGGTGTTTCAGCGCCACCAACAAGAGCATAGCGAACAGAAGGAGGAGACGAACACAAAAACAGTAAGTGAAAAGCGAGATGGCAATATGTAATAAGCTATGCAGTTTACCGTTAAAGAAGCATGCGTGTGTGTTTGTGTGTGTATCTGTTTCGGCAGAGCAACTCAATGAAGCACAAGTTTTCATGCATTTACATATGTACATGTTTGCTTGTGTATGTGCTCATTTTGTTGGTTCTTTCCTTAGCCTTCTCCTTCCGTGAGCGGCTATTCGACCTTAGATCACAACCAAAATCACGTGAAGCTGGCCGCGGCGAAAATGGCCAACTGTACAGATAATTCGAATAACAATGGGCTAATTGTCCAACATGTTCATACTGTAAGTACATATTTACATTTTTCATAAAGTGTGTATTTCCAAATATGATATATTATTATTACTATTATTCTAAGCTTCCAACTCTGAACCCCAGCACGGTGGATAATCTTATGGCCAATTATAGCCAACTTACTCCCATGACGGCTGTGCGTCAGGTCGTGCATTTGGGCCACGTTAAGCAGGAGCAGCAACCAAATAATTTACCATCGCCATTCCGTGCGGATCAACCGGTGCCCATTGATCTGACCACAGCTTCCGTAGCATCCTCGCAAAGCGACAGCAAATCCAGCTTATCCAGCAAATCGTATTCCCTGGAAGATGTTCAAATGGCTGCCTCATTGTCCCATTACATAGATGGCCCACCCAGAGACATACTGCATCGCCTTGAACGCACAATGACGGATATAAGTCAGGAGCTGCGCTCCCGCAACCAAATTGAGCACAACCGTTTACTCCTGGAGGCAGCCAAATTCAAGTTCTTAAACCCAAACTTCCAATTTGAGCCCACCCTTTAGGCCAGTTCGGGGATCGAAACAATTGATGAATTAAAATATATGTATGTATATGCATTTACAAAATATATGTATATTCCAACATCCCACCATATTGGTGTGGCGCTGATAACCGTCTTGAGTATTTTGTATTTCGCAACGGCAGTATTCAATAAATTAACTAATGTTCCATTTAACTGAATAAGTTAATTCGGTCACTTTTATTCAGTTATAGTTTTTTCGATTTTGTTCCCTCTCTACATAACACACCTTGTAGCTCTCTTAGATGCTTCATAGTATTTTCCGCGAGGGACATCACCTTGTCCAATGCACGCAGCGCAAATTTGTAAATTGTAAATTTGTAATAATTAGAGCTGTCAAACGATTGATAGTTGAGCCATCGATAGCTTTGAATGTTTTGAAAAAAACAATCGATACTATCATGATAGTCGCAAAACCGTCGATAGTAGAGACTAGCAGTAAAATATCGATACTATCGATAGTGCCCTCGAAGGTTTGGCAATAATAATTTGTAATAATGGACGATGCGAAAACTTTAATTAGTTTAGACCAAGAAAGCACCGACGACGATGAACCAATTGTAACGAAAGTGCCAGAAAAGAGTTTGCCAACGCCAACAAATCACCTTGCAGATATCCTAAATGATAATGTTCCAACAACGAGTAGTACAGGTGTCCGCGTAGGTAATAACAATTCGGGGACTTTGAAGCCCGGTAAAGACGACGGCGACGACGACGTACCCGCGTTGCTAGATCACACCCCCTCATACTCAGGCAATGTAAGTTTCTAACAAAGATGAATCTGATGAATCATCATCCATTGTTGCAGTTTAAAATTAAGTGCGTATCACTAAGCCCACTTTCTACTTGTATTTGTAGGCATTCAATGGAAACTTGCCAGCTAATGGTCGTGATAACGCCGAATCGGAACCCATTTTCCGCGTAAGGTCTCGAACGGCAGCATCATCGACTCCCAATTATGAGGTGGGTGTGTGTGTTTTTGGGGTCTCTCCTCGACAAGTCTGTCTCTCTAAATGCATAATCTAAATATCATTTTCAGAGCTTGGACTATGAAGTCTGCGAAAATACGCTATTTCAAGACGAACAACGAAAGAGCCTTACGGAGCGGTTCTCACTGCGGAAGGATATCATACGATGGATCATATTCATACAAATTGGCATCATCACAGCGCTTATTGCCTGCGCCATAGACATTATCATCGAAGAACTCTCCGAACTGAAGTACATGTTCCTCATGAACTGTGCGTAAAGATGGATTGGCTCAACAGACTTGATTTGCTTATTTATCTTGATATTTTTGTTTATTTGCAGCCGTCGAGAGCAATGTTCCAAAGAGCGATTTTACGGGCGGCGATTTAGTTGTGCCATTCCTCTACTGGCTTCTATTGAGCGTCGTGCCCGTGGCTTTTGGAGCTGCCATGGTTACATACATTGAACCCATAACGGCGGGCAGTGGCATTCCGCAGGTGAAGAGCTACCTCAATGGCGTGAAAATACCACGTATTGTGCGCATCAAAACCCTGGCCGTGAAGGCTATTGGGGTGATCACCTCGGTGGTCGGCGGTTTGGCTGGCGGCAAGGAGGGGCCAATGATACACGCCGGCGCTGTTGTAGCCGCTGGCATATCGCAGGGAAAAAGCACCACATTCGTAAAGGATTTCCGTGTCTTTAAGGCCTTCAGGGATGACCACGAGAAGCGAGACTTTGTCCTTGGAGGCGGCGCTGCTGGAGTTTCGGCCGCTTTTGGCGCCCCCATTGGCGGTATGCTGTTCTCGTTGGAAGAAGCAGCCAGCTTCTGGAACCAAAATCTCATCTGGCGCACTCTCGTTGCCTCAATCATTAGCGTCTTTACGCTGAACCTTGTCTTGTCCACATATCACGGCGCAAACGATTTCACCTTCACAGGCCTCTTCAATTTGGGAAAGTTCGATCAGCCGCTGAAATTTGACTATTTTGAGCTGCCGATCTTCATGCTGCTGGGCGTAACCGGAGGCCTACTGGGGGCCGCCTGGAATTCGCTGAATACAAAAATCAACAAATTTAGGAAACGTTACATTCCGTGGAAGCTCGGCAAGGTGTGCGAAGCCGTTGTGGTGGCCATGCTGGGTGTCACGCTGGCATGCACGATGATCTATTTTATCAACGATTGTCGTCCGCTGGGCAACGATCCAACCATCCATCCAGTTCAGCTGTTCTGCGAGGACAATGAATACAATGCTGTGGCTGCACTCTGGTTTCAAACGCCCGAAGCCACAGTCCGATCTCTTTTCCATGATCCACCAGGTGGGCTAGTAGATATTTCTCCTCGAGGGCCATGAATCTTACATTTAGTTTATTTTGTTTGTAGGATCCCACCAAATCCTCACTCTGGCCGTGTTCGCGCTCGTCTATTATGTGCTTTCGTGTGCCACCTTTGGCCTCAACGTCTCCCTTGGCGTCTTCATACCAACAGCTTTAGTAGGCGCTGCCTGGGGACGTCTCTTAGCCATGGTCACGTTCTATTTATTTCCTGAAACTGTAAGTAACATATCGCTCATGCCAAGTCCATCGGTTAATCCTTTGCGTGTAAACAAAAAAAAAAACAGGAATTTTTGCATCCTGGAAAATATGCTTTGATTGGAGCTGCCGCCAATCTGGGTGGAGTGCTACGCATGACCATCAGCTTGTCGGTTATCCTGATGGAAACAACTGGCGTGGAGACGTCATTCTTTTTCCCCCTGATCATTGCGCTCATCAGTGCCAAATGGGTGGGCGACTACTTCAACGAGGGCATCTACGACACCCAAATCGAAGTGAATCACGTGCCCATGCTGCCTTGGGAGCCGCTGCCCCAATATAAAGGCCTGAAAGCACGCGAAATATTGAGCAGTCCTGTGGTTTGCATCAAGCTGCGGGACAGCGCCCATTACATCTACAATATGCTGAAGAAATGCGATCACAATGGTTTTCCCGTCGTGGATGACGTGCAGGGTGTAAGATAATAAACTAAGTAGCTTATCCGCGGGACTGACTCTGATTTAACCACATCATTGCTTGCAGGTTCGTCGCTCTGAGGGTCGCGTCTGTGGCATTGTTTTGCGTTCGCAGTTAATTGTCATCCTGTTAAAGTCTCTGTATGTGGAGAACAGTCATTTCTGGCTGCCAAATACTTCAATACAAACGTTTCGAGATGTCTATCCGCGGTACCCATCTATTAAGGTAAGGACTAAAAAAAAAACTCTTCAGATTCTTCAATGATTTTTTTGCTGCTGGTTCTAGAGCGTGCGCAAACTGGATGATAAAATTAATTACACAGTGGACCTCTCCATGTTCATGAATCCATCACCAGTGCGCGTCAATGCGGTGAGCAAATACCTTTAGTTTTCCCCCAATGTTCCCCCAAAGACAATCAATTTCATTTACGTCATTTACGCATTGCAGCACGACTCGGTGCCCAGGATCTTTCAAATCTTTCGTGCCTTGGGCCTGCGCCATATGCTGGTCATCAACAACAAGAATCGCATTGCTGGCATTATAACACGGCGCGACTTCATTTACAAGTGATGAAGTTTGGAGTATGCATTTGTATTTAATACAATGTTTTTTTAATTTTGTGTATCGAATACTGCTACCCAAATGTACTGTGCGCGTTCATTTTATTTTAAGGTATAACTATGTCCAATAAACTTTTATATTTCTTTGTAATCGCTTGGGCTTGGAATCATCGTTTGAAAGGCCATTTCACTTTTGATAAACTTTTTTAATCTGCTCATTACGTTTTTACAACTTATGTTTAGGGATCTTAAACACGTAGATATCTATAAAATAATAGTATTCACAAGGAATTGTACAAGGTTTGTGTGTGTGTGTGGCGGCCTTTGCTGAATTTCCTTTTGTATAAAAATACGTCACGTCACGTCACACATTGGTAAAAGTTAAAGATTAAAATCTTAGAGCTCTAAACAGACGTGTTTTGAAATCTACTAATTGCTAGCACAACTCTTCACTAGTTCCGTTTGCTGTGCACAAAACGCTTAAGCTTTAGCTTTAGCTGCATGTGTATATACTATATATATGACTTATCCATGTGGGGCGGGGCCTACAAGATAGGTTTTGTTAGTGGGTAGAAGGGGCTTTAGGACTTAATTGCTACCTCAATAAAAAGAAGGCGCCTCTATAAAAACAAATCGCGCTCTGCCATAGGTGGAACTCTAACGCTAAAAGTTATGCAAGTTAATGTAAGCCTAGAAAATTCTAGTCTAGGAGCAAAACGCCTATGATTAAATGACTTTTTGTACAAAGTGAAAAAGAGCTTTGTTTCGATGAAATATATATCCAATATCCAATGCCACGCCGGACTGCGACTGGTATCACATTTAGAATCAAATTTGTATATTGAATACAGACAAATCTTCTATTCCATCTTTTTTATCGTCATATGCAGGCAGCGGCAGCATCTGACCATGCTCCCGCTCCTGTTGCTGCTGTCCGTTCCGGTTAGCTCTCCATGGGACGCACCTGCTGCAGTGACTCGGCGGCATTCGTGTTCGCTGCCGCTGCTGCTGCCGCACTGTTGCAATGCTGCTGTGGGGCAGTGGGGGTGGAGGTCGAGTCCGTTGACAAAATGCTGCTGCTGCTGCTATTGGCTAGAGGATGGTTGGAAGACATGGCGGTGGCCAACACACTGGTAACCGATGATGATGTTGTTGCTGCTGCCACCGAGGCATTTGCAGCGATTGCTGATGTCCCCGTTCCGCCCATCATACCACCAATTGAGCCGCTGCCGCCCGTCGCATTGCCGCCAAGCTGGATGACTTTGTATCTCGTGTACACACGATACGGGGTCTTGGACGTATCCTTTTGCTGCAGCGGCTTGGTCTTGCAGGTGGCGCCCCAGCCACTGGCGTTGATCTGATCCGCCGTCTTGCCCAGCAGCCAATCGCTGCAGTTCTGCTGCAGTTGCTCGCTGACGTGCTGCTGCAGCCAATTGTTGACGTAGGCCTGATACCGCACATATTTCGCCTGCGTGACGCGGCAATGACTCTGTTGGGGAAACAAAAGGGAAATGAATTACATTCGTCTCTTCTGCTGCTAGCCGTAGAGATCGATCACTCACCTTCTTGGCACGACGCACTGCATCGTACTTGAGTAGCTTGAGATTCTTGCTGGTCACAAAGCATCGGCCGTTGCTGGAATTTGTGGTGATCTCGTCGCGATCGTTGAATGCGTATTGCTCGGCCAGGCCCACCTGTGGAGTGCCCAGCCTCTCCGGCAAACGCTTGCCCCAATTGTTATTGTTGTTATTATTATTATTGGTGGTGGTGGTGGTGGTGGTGGTGGTGGTGGTGTTGCCGCTGCTGCTGCTGGTGGAATGGTTGGCATCGCCGCCAGAGCCTGCCTCAGCAGCGTTAGTCGTGGTGGTTCCTGCGGCTGCCGCATGCTCACTTCGGCTCCGCTTCTGATCAAATAACTGGCGCACTTGCTCCTCGTGCAGCTGCGACCGGCGCTTGTTGCGCAGCAGGAAACGCGCCTTGGGTGCACCTCCTCCACCTCCTCGCGCATGCTGCAATGAGAACACGGACGGGGCAACGTTTAGTCTGATTGTCCATAATTATGGCAATTGCCGGCAGCAATTGAGGGGCAATGCAGCATGCTTCCACAGAGAGTTTTATGAATATTACTTAAAGCTGGATATGTATGTTTATGTGTGTATGTGTGTGTGTGTGTCTGTGTGGGGGTGTAGGGGTGTGTGTGTTTAGCACTATTAACAATGAGTATTAAAAAACAGATGGAAGGAAGGTATATGGAAGGAGAAGGGTTGAGGGAAAACAAAGATGAGTCAAACAACAACAGATGTAGGTAGAGGGTACCAGGCCAAACAAGCCAAAGATCGACACGTACACATTTACGGATTAACTGAATCACATTTACATAGTACACATATAGTAATACCAACAAAACTCAACTCGAAAGTAAACTTAATCTTAGAGCTACGTCTAATCAATTGAAATGATGAGTAAGTTCTACGATGCGACGATCACTTACCTTGCTTAAAGCTTAATTAAATTACTGAACCTGCTTGCTTTGCTCTGCACTAAACACCCCATTCCCCAGAGGCACCATCGAACAACATCCAACATCCATTGCCTCTCTTCACTTTCAATAATTGCAATTAATTAATTAATTTATAATAGGCTGCTGCTGCTGCTGCTGCTGCTGCTCCATATATATATTTCTCAATTTTCACTCTCCGGTAATATCCACATTTGGTGATTGTATTTTGTATTCTGTATTGTTTATGTTTTGATTTCATTTACAATTATGGTATTTGCAATGTATTCGTTTGTGTGTGTGTGTGTTTGTTTGTTTGTTCTTAAATGCCTAGATATAAAAAATTGTTACCGAACTGTACTGTTGTTTATAATTTAAAATGACATTTTTGGCGTTGTACCTTCCTTTACAAAATTAGCTACTAAACGTTTACACTTAATTACATATGTACTTTGACGCTAAATGTTATTTACAATAAAAACACGATAATAAATATTTACATATATGTTTGTGTGGTGTTTAAAAAGCCCTCATATCGAGAACTACTCAACACTGGAACTGAAACAACTTCACACCGCAATCGTATATCCTTTTCTCACACCTCCATCCGCCTCTCACATCTCTCTCATCTGACAACACACCAACACGCACACACACACACAAACACAAATTCTTTAAGCTTCACCTTTCCCAAGAAGAATCGCTTCGCGACACGACTGACCTATTGACCTCCGAGATAGCACTAAGGAGACAAACTCAAGGCATAACAAAATTAGAAACAAATGCAAGCGCGTGCCTACGTTTATAATTATTGTTGTTGTTGTTTCTGTTGTTGTTGTTTCTACTATTTTACATTAGGTATGCTGGCAAAAGAGTATATGTATAAGAGTTTGCTTGTCTATGCATCTATGTATATATGTTTTTGTGGTGTGTGGTGGCTGGTGGGTGGGTGGTTGGATGGCTGGGTTGGTAAATGCTACATTTATTTAGGTGATAATTCGGTTTCTCATTATTATTGTTGCTTGTTATTGCTTGGACGAACGGTTCTTTACATTCTTACGCATGTGTCGGTGTGGGTGTGGGTGTGAGTGTGAGTGTATAAGTGGTGGTTGTGGTAGTGGTAGTGGCGGATGTGTGATAGTTATGGGTGAAAAAGGTTGTTGATGGTGTTACGGTTGGTTATTGCGATGTAAGTTTTGGTATTTTTTTGTTTTGTTCTGGTAATCAAAAAACAAATTCATTTATTACTATTTCATTTTGCAATATGACTTTTTCTTCTTCTTATTCAATGAAATTATCAAAACTATTTTGTTATTTCAAGCCTTGGAATTGACCTGGTACGAAAAAATAAATCGGAAAAAATGAGAGAAAAGAATGCAAAAAAGCATTAATTAGATTAGTGAATATTTTCTTGTTCTTCTTTTTTAATTTCTTTTTATACATTTTTGTTTTTTTTTTTTTTTTTGCTGCATTTTCAATCGATTTTATTTATTGATATGTATGCGAAAATGTGGGCGATTGGCAAAAGTTGGCAATTGGCATGTTGATAAACGATATCAAACGGAATATAGTCGAAAAAGAATATTGAAATTAAAAGAAAAGTATTTAAACAAACAACAACAACAAAAAATGTGTGCAACCCGAGAGGCTAGCAAAACGAGAAGAGAAAAAAAACATGAGCGTGTGCAACGGCGAAAGGCGATAGACAAATAGATAGATATATAGATACAACACAACAGATAACAGATGTAACCAAAACTGATATATACAGAAGGTGTGGTGGGTTTGTGTTCTGTAGTCGGTCCATTAGTTTGGGTCTGGGTCTACGGTCTAAACTATATTTGTTCAATGTATTGGGGAGGGGGGTATGGTATGTTATGTACAGTGAAAATTATTCAAATCAGAACAGAGGAGAATACGAATCGTGAAACATAAATAGAAATGAATAACAGAATACACAAACAACATGGTTAACCACTCTTCCTTCCAGCACACACGCAAAGGGGCTCTGGTTCTGGCTCAAATGCTGCTGCTGATGCTGCTGCCCAGTTCCTTCTGACCAACACTTACCTCGGCATTTTCATCCTCCTCCTCCGTCTTGATGTCCGACTCATCGACAATGTTCTCGCTGCTCAGTGCCGCACTATTCCCACTGCCACTGCCGCCGATACCCGGATTCGCCACTCTCTCAACGTATTTGCTGAACTTCTGTGCCTTTAGCGCCGGCTTATCCGCCTCTTCGGGCTCAGAGTCGAGCAGCTCGATGGTGACGCGACAGTCAATTTTGTACTGCAAGAGAACAAAATTCGTTGCGTTATGGTATTTGGTGGCTGGCTTTAAGGACTAACGCATTACTTACAATGTACACCTTGAAGCAGTTCTCTTCGTTGAACATGCTCTCCGCCTTGCGCTGATATGACATCTCGCGCTCAAACGTTTTGTGGGCATCGCGACAATAGCCGCCAGTGCTGCCGCGTCGCTGTTCGGTGGCATACAACTCCACGCAGTCCAAAGCGGCTCGCTCAGTGACGCAGTACTGCAGCTGGCGAACGGCGTTCGACACAACCTGGCGACAGAGAGAAAAACAGACCGAGATTAGCAACTGAAATTATCCACGAACTAGATCCAACACAACGTACCTTGTCCAGGGTAAAGGATACGTAAGCGTAGATACCAAACATTTCACGCATCGTGTCCTCGAAGGTGTTCGAGTCCATGTTGCCGTCCAGGACATTCTTGAGCATATCCAGAAAGGTGGGATAGTAGTCCTCCACTTGAACCTCAGGCTTGGGCTTAAGCCGCAGCGCCGTGGCGGTGCTCTCTCGCCGATTCACCCGACAGCGCTCCTCCTCGATGGCCAACAGCCGTGCCCGCTCATACATATGATGCAGACGATCGCAGAGAATCGCGTGTAGGCGCAGGAACAGATACCAGTTGTTGGAGGCAAAGAACAGCGAGTAGGATTCATCCTGTAGATGGGTAACAATATATGGGTTATGGTTATAGATCAACGAGTCCCCTAGTCTGGTCTGGTTAAAACTCACCTCATGCTGGCCCTGAGCATGCTGTGGCAACAGCTTTGGATGGACAAAATCAGCATGATGCTGCTCTTGCTTGATTTCCACATCGCTGGGATTTACTGCTGCTGCTGCTGCTGGGTCTTGTCCTGGTCTTGGACTGGACACTCCGCTGCCTGTGCTGGTGGTGGTGCTGCCTGCCTCATCTCGGTTAGACGGGGGCTCATCCTTTGCCTTGGACTCTGATGCTGCTGCCGTTGCTGCCGCAGCTGAAGATGTTGATGGCGTTGCATCGTCTGAAGCTGAACTAGCTGGTGTCGCCGTCGTCGTCGTTGTTGTTGTTGTTGTTGTCGTCGTAGTTGATGATGCTGCCGTGACTCCTGATCCCGTCGTCGTCGTCGCCTTGAGCTCATCAGCTTCGTTTTTAACGGCTGCCGCTGCCGCCGCCGCACTGCTGCTGGTGCTCGCAGTGCTGCGTGCAGGAGATCCGCCCTCGCTGGGCGATCCCTTGGCATTTCGAGTCACCGAATCGGCTCGACTCAGCGGCGAGTGGTCTACGTCCATTTTGTTATTGTCATCTGCCAAAAATGGAAAGGCTAATACATATATGGGGATTCGAATATACGATGTGGTGGTGGTGGTGGTGGTTCAGTGGGTGCATTCCATTTGTGTGGTGTTAATCAATTACAGATATCGTTATACATATATGATTTTCATTACGTAATACGAGTAGTTTTGCGGGTTGCAGGTGTTTGTTGTAGTTTTTTTTTTTTTTAATAATAAAATGAAAAAGAAAACGAAAAAAACATTCACTAAATTAAAATACTATCGATACAAATTAAATAAACAATAATCAATAATTAAAGTGTACTTGAAATTAGTGGAGGTTACAACAACTGTTGGGGGTTAGTGTTCAGAACTCTACTGGGGTTAGTGGGTTAGTAAAGGACAAGAGAAAAAGGGAAACAGGGATGTACGAGACTCACCGTCATCGCGCTCATCGTCGCTGAGCGGCTGTCGCGGTGCAAAGAACAGATCAGGCACAAATTGTCGTATGATCTGCTTAATTTTCTGCTTCTCCTGCTTTTGTATGCCCGTCTGGCGTTTGACATGATGGATCAGCAGATTGGCGGCATCGTCCAGTATGGTCTTGTCCTTGTAGGGCAGCACAAGATGCGGCCCCGCCTGCTCCATGGCATCATCCTCCTGATCGTGCCGCTCATCGTACAGCGTTTCGATCTCATTGAAGAGACTCTTGGAGCGGAGGGCCTTCATATCGTTGGGCTTGAAATTGATGGCCTGATGGTCAAGCGACTTGAGATAATACTTTTCGTTCTGCTCGCGCCACTGCTTGTTGAAGCCCTAAAAACGATAAAATATATATTTAGATCTATAGCTGAGAGTGGGGGGGGGGGGTACTATCTTTTCGGACATACCTTTTGTGCATCCCGCCATTCCTCCTCCTTGACTTTCAGCCGTTTCAATATAATAGGCACAGCCACCGAGGGATTCTTCTTCATGCCTTGGATTATCTCCCCCGACTTCTCGCCATATATCCGATGGATGGCACGCTGGTGTATCGTTTGCGATGTGCCGCCCAGTGTATCATCCAAGTGGAATTTGGCCAACTCCTCGCTGGACATGCGCGACATCTTCTTTTGGACACCTTCCAGCACCTGAATGGTGGCGCTGTTCACCTCGATGACCAGATCTAGCTCGAATCGCTCGTCCTCCGTTCTGTGAATATTCCTTTTGTTTAGAACACGTGCGCATCGGTTAATTCAAATAAACGAAAGCCAAAGAAACAGAAACAAGAGGATCCAAGAAAACAAACAGAAAACCAGAGAGAAGTGGAGAGGAGAGTGGGGCAACACCATGAAATAGGTCCCAAAATGAAAAGAGTTATAGCAAGAAAGAAAACCAAAGCACCATAGCCACCCATAGAATTTTTTGTTGGGACTTATTTCACAGTGGAGGAGGAGAGCTGCTCCCTGCTTACCTGTAAATCGTCTCCTCGAATTGCGTTTTGCGTGACGTGACAAATGTGGAATCCTCACTGGCCCACGTCGGAAATGAGACCCACTTGTCGTTGAGCACCTCACGGCACAGGGCTGTCCGGCCGCTGCACTTTTTCGGCACCGATGACTGCGGCAAGGCACAATAGGAGGCGCCGAGTCGCTTGCACGCCGACAGATCGACATCTTGTACATATTCAGCGGCCGTGGGATGATTGCTGCCCCGTTCGCGGTCTCGGTCATGGGAGCTGCTGTTGCTGCTGCCGCCCTGCCGTTGAGTGGCCGCCAGGGGCATGCCATCGATAAGTCCTCCGCCTCCTGTTGCCCCCACCTGACCCTGGCCCTGGCCCGAGCCAACGGGTGGGCCCAGAAAGTCGGTGAACCAGCGCAGCAGATCGGGAAACTTCATCAGGAAGGGAGAGACGAGTCCCAGTAGTTCCGCTTTGGACACAATTTCCTGATTGAACAGCGTCAGACATCGCAGAAAGTTGTCATACACCTCGGGACTGCGCAGTGCCTTGCGTACCTTATCGAAAAAGGCCGCATCCGAGATGGTGCACTTGCTGGATGCCTCCGAGAAGCTGACATCCCTGCAAAATGGCTTGGATCTCTTGGCCGGCGGTGGTCCGCCGCCCCCTCCGCTTCCATACAGGCCACCATCATCGCCTACGCCCTGCCGTCTGGCGGCGGCTGCTGCTGCTGCAGAGTTGTTCTGACCCGCATGATGGCCAGCGGTGAGGACGGTGGTCGCCGCATAACTGATGCCCGGCGAGCTGCGGTCCAGAGAATTGTCGGATAGGTGCGGCAAGGATCCAATCCCCGAGGACAGGCCATAGCTGGGCGACTTTTTTGCATTGTGGCCATGGTGCGAGAGGCTCAGGTTCTGCGAGTGTCCACCCACATACTTCTGTACATGATGATTGTTCCGATGCTCCTTCTCAAAAGCCACCATAACGCTGCCTCCGCCGGCGCCAGCTCGTATATTGGCGGCTCCAGTTGTCGTCCCCGCCAAATGATGATGGGCCACGCCAACTCCACGCTGGTGCGACTGCTGCTGCTGTTGCAGGCTGGCTGTCGACACACCGTGATAGTCCTTCTCAAAGAGTAGGTCATTCCGTTGCGAAGCAATCACATGGTTCTGCTGCTGCTGATGCTGATTGTTGTTGTAAGTCTTGATGCTGACGCTGGTGTTCACCGCCGATAGATTGCCAATGGCCGCCGCATGGGCGCTGCTGTCGAGCGTCTGTGGCAGCGTGCCCCCACCACTCAGATGGAGCGGCGAGCCAATGCTGTGCGCTGGCGAGGCACTCGACATGGTAATGTGTGCCCCGCCACTCAGTGTGGCCGTGGTACGCTGCTGTGGTTGCTGCTTACTGTGATCATTGAGGTGCACCGCCGAGGCCTTGGCCATGTACTGGCCGCCGCCCGACGACTGATGATTGGTGGCATCGGGCAGGAATTGTCCGAATTCGCGCAACAGATCCTCATCCTGGCCAAAGAGCTTGGCCACCTGTGTGTAGACCTCCTGTTCGGTGAGCATTTTCCCTTGATTGAGGCTGCCCTCCTTCATCACCTTCTGCTCCTTCTGGTAGGCATGGAGAATCTCCAGGAATTTCTTGTACTTGGCCGGCTGGTTTTGGAACCGATTCTAAATGGGATGAAATATACAAATTAGCAATCACTTTTCGACTCTTCCCATCCATGCTCCATTCTGTCTCACCTTGATCTTATTTACATAGGTTATGGCATGATTGAACTCGACTGGCTGATTCTGCTGGCCCGTTTCGCCCAGGAATATCAATTGATGCGCATGCTGGATGTGATGCAGATTGTGCTGGGCACCCGCTCCGCCACCAGCTCCGGCACCACCGTGTGGACTTAGTTCGCTCAAGGAATTGGGAGTGGGCGGACCACCACCCACAACAATACTGCTGGCCGCTGCAGGAGCCGCCGACGCTGCCACCACCTGACCGGCGGTTGGTGTGATTGTGGCCCGCTCTCGATCCCGCGAGTAATTCTGTGGCATGTTGTGCGCCGACACGGAGATGCCCCCTGGCGTCTGTCCTCCAGCCACGGACACCGCTGGCGCTGGGGAGCTGGTCACGCTCACATGAACATGCCCTGGGGACTGAGACTGCGGTGGAGTGGCCTGCTGCAGGGCATGAATCGTGGTCTGGGTGAGCGATGCACCGCCATGGGTCATCAGATTGACAGCGCCTGCCGATTGGATTTGTGCCACGGCTGCCGCAGCGGCAGCTGTTCCGGCCGCAATAGCTCCTCCTCCTGCGGCGGCAGTCAGTGTGGCCTTCACGTTGTGGCCGGCGCTGGCCAAGGGGCTGCTGGTGCCGCCAGCTATCATGTGCACCGTCCCAGTGCTGGTGGGTGCACCAGGGGGAGAGGGCATCGATACCACCGGCACCGAGCAGCCGAGGGCATCGGAATGGATCTCAATTTTGTAGCCGGGCGGCAGAAACATATTGAAGCCATAGATCAGCTCAGTATGGCCCTTGAAGAGCGTCGAAACGCGCTCTATCACCCCCGGGGTGTCGATGCAGTGCGACTTGAACTCCTTCATGATGTCGAGGAAGTTGTTGTAGATCTGCGGCTGGTCCGCATACTGGTACTTCACCTGGTCCAGATAGCTGAGGGCATCCTCTACCTTCAGACGTGGTGTGGCATTTCCTCCTCCTCCACCAGAGCCCTGTCCCTGCGGTGGTGTACTACTGCCCCCTGCCACAATATTGCCCGACTGTTGGGCAGCAGCAGCACCAGCTGAGGGTGGTGTCTGGGCCGTCTGGGGCAGACTGCCAGGAGTCTGATGTTGAGCCATCGATGTGAGATTGCTGACGGCACTGGCCGCGGTCTGTGTGCCGCTTATTGTACGCTGTCTAATGGTGCTGCTGGCCGTTTGCGAGCTGCTCGAGACTGTCTGGGCATTGGAGGGGTTAGCGGATCCTCCAACTATTCCTCCTCCTCCTGTTACATGAATCTGCACGGTGTTGCCACCGTCCGCCGTTGTGCTTCCCTTGAGAGTTCCTCCAGCCTGGATAGAGGCCACGCTGTAGGCTGCAAGCGAAGGAAATGCGTTCAGTATATGTAGTTCTCGGATTTCTTTCAATTTTTCTACTCACATGTGGTATACTGCAGTGTTTGTGTGCCGGCGCTGCCAGTGGATACAACTACTCCTCCCCCTGCTCCTCCTGCAGCACCAGTTGCTCCTACAGTTCCCACTCCCACTCCCACTCCTACAGTGGCCACCTGGGCTCCTCCTGCGCTGGTGTTGATGCTGCTGCTGGTGCTGTCAACAATTGAACTAGTTGTTTTCAGATTCGTTGCCGTCGGCGTGGTGGACGGCAAATAGGCTATGGTCTGGGCACCGCCATGCTGTGGAGTGAGGATGCGATGGTGTATGGAACTGATGCCGCTAATGGTGGCACTGTGAGCACTTGGCACAACTGTGCCAATGGTTACGCCTGTGTTTACGCCCACGGTGGCGGAGCCTCCAACACCGCCGACACTGACGCCGGAAGTAGGACCAACGCCAACGCCGACGCCAGCGACTCCAACTCCAACGCCGACAACGCCCGGAGCTGGTGGGCCAGGACGTGTCCCGAACTGCACCTCGTCGACACGGGTGCGTTTCATCATCTTGTCGTTTCTCTGTCTGTTTGCTTGTCCTTCTTCCGTGCGGCTCTTCGCCTTTGAGCCCGTTGTGGTGTCCGATCCGGTCCCGTCCCTGCCTAAGCACAGGGATGCTGGATACTGGGATGATACTGGGTGGTGTTCCCTCTCGCCCTCTTGCCGCTCTCCTATGAGCGTATGTAGTATGCAACAAACGGTCGTGGTCGCAACTGCTTTGACTGCGGCTCTTGATCTTGAACTGCTCGTGAGTGCAACATATGTTGTCTATGCATTTGGTCGCCCGCTAGCGGCAAATGCCCTGAGGTTCTATAATTGAGAGATTGTCAACAACGACGGCGACGATGCGACGACGTTGTCCGCTGATGCTGCTGCTGCTGCTGCTACTCTTTGCTTTTGCCACGTCGTGCGTGGTCGGTCTCTCCAGCACTGTTGCTATTTGTATCTTAAGGTAGGCGAACGAACTGTAAGAAAAAGAATGCAAACAATTAATAAATTTTTTCTTTATAACCGAAGAAATACCAATAGGAAACCCCCAGTTTCATGATATTTTCACATTTCAACGAAATGTTTCCAAACCACAAAGCAACAAACATTTTAGTTTGCGAGCATCACGAAATTCGTTTGCCATATCGCAAAAAAAAAAAAAACACACACACTATAGAGAGTCGAAGAACATTTGTTCCTTTGTATTGGGGTTCCGTGTTTGATAGAAAGAGCCCACCGCTGGCCCGCGAGGGAGGGGGCAATAACAATACCGAGTATATAGAAGGAGAGTTGCCAACGCTCTCTTCTTAGGCAAGTATATATATATATAAGTATGTATATACAAACATACATATGTACGTATGTAGATACGTGCAACCGGAATTGGGCGCGCGCTTTGTTATTGGTTTTAGCGGGTACAGTAAAGACTTCCTAGGCGAGCTTTTCTTATGTACGGCTTGTGTGAGCGCATGGAAGGTGCCAAATGCCCCATGCACGACCTCAGAGCTTGCATAGAATCCACTGGAAACAAACACACACACACACACACGCAGACAGAGCATATCTATATATACGTACATGCCAGAGGGGAGGGAGCGGGGCTTGCTGGTATACATTCTGTATCTACTACAGCTTACAAGAGCCAAATGCTGCAGCAGTGGCAGCAGCAAGCCACAAATGCAAAGGTGGTGGCGGTGGTGCAGCCATATTAGCGGGAGAGAGAGAAGAGAAGAGAGTGAGAGAAGAGACTGTCAGCAGGAGAGAGCGCAAATTTGTTGTTGAGGCGCAGTAGATGGCAGATTTTTTCAAAAGGTATTTTTCACCCGTTTGGGGCCAGCAACAACCCGTCACACACGTACCGTACACACACACATAAAGTATTTGGCGGGCATTCGAGAGAGGAGAGCTATCGCGAGAGAGCAAAGTTGCGCTGCGGCGCACAGGAGAGAGAACGGAACTTCGAAGAGAGTGGTTAAGTGTAAATATAACTTGAATGAAAGTGTATTTGTGCGCGGGCTGAGGCAAATCGAAACCGCCTTGAGGATCAGCATAGCCACCCACCCACCCAAACCCCATTTGGTTGCCTCAGCGTTTGTAAACAAATATTGAAACACTGTACAGCCGCACAAAAGCTCCGAAGCTTCCCACTCTCTCACAAGTCCTTTGGATATTCGCTGGGGAAAACGAGCCCATTTGGTTTGTATGCGTTTCCTTTACTCCTTCCTACATATATCTTACACTCTCTCAATTAACGTGTGGCACTTTTTGTTATTGTATTTGAATCCGCCATCATCGGCATTGCCAGTGCATACCAAACGTACCTACATACATATGTACATATGCATGTAGGTATGTGTGTGCTGCGTGTGGCTCTGAGCGCGCATTGTGGAAGAGCTCTGGGCTCCAACACAAAATTGGGGCGTTCATGGCAGCTGTATATGTGTGCGTGCGTGCGACTGTGTTGCTGTGTGCTTGGGGGAGACATGTGGGCAAAATTTTCCCTCCATTTTTTTTTGTTCTTGTTCTGCTGCTCTATTACGTGCACACGAACATTATCTTATCTGTTTTGTTAAGTGTATACATAGCACAGAATACGCAGCACAAAGGAGAGGGGCAAGAAATATGCAAAAATTGTTAATCACTTATTTTCTTTGCACTGTCTGGCATCACAACAATCTAATCTTGATTTGATTCATTTTTCTCTTATTTATCGGACAGGGAGCCACCGTTATATTAGTAGTTTTTAATGCACAATATTTAATATTTGGATTTTTTGTTACTTTCTCACTTGCACACACACACACGCAAACACACACAGCCGAACTACCGCTGCTCTATTAATAAATTTCGCAAATAAAACATATGGATGTAGAGAGAAATATGTACAAAATAGCTAAGGCATATATACACTCGTACTATAGTCATAGAAGAAAGCTGTGTAAAATTGAAAGAACCGAAACGAAACGAGACGAGAAAACGAACCAAGAACAACAAACAAGAACAAGAGGACTGGTGTGAAGAGGAAGAGCCAAAGATGTGAATAAGGAGAGGCAGAGGCAAAAAATGATGCTCTCATTGTGTGCGGTGGCGGCGCTCCGTGGAGCTCTGGGGCCGGGGCCAGCCAGCCAGCGCCAGCGGGTTATATTATTCAGTGTTGGGGAGCCATTAAAATGTTCGAACACACACACACTACATGCGAATGGCGCATCAAAGCAAAAGTCAAGATAAGCGCACGAACTGAGAGGGAACGAAAATAAAACGACACACTACGTTGAAAAAATACAGTCAGTTCATAAGCAAGCCAAAAGCAATGGTTCAAACTTGTATATATGTGTGTGAGTCTCTCCTCCGCCCATGTGTGTGTGTGTGTATGCATGTGGATTGCTGTGCGTATTGTGAGCAGCAGCACAAACAACAACCACGTCGCAGTCTTTTTGTCTGTTCGCTGTATATATGTATTCGGTTTCTCTATCCCTCCGAGTGTGTGTGCGTGTGTGTATATAAACCAATTGAAATTGACCTAACCTAAAAATGTTGTATTTTTCACAAGTTTTAGCTGCTCGTTTGCCACTACCAAAAGTTGTTTGATTACACCAAGTGCACTTGAAGGATATTTCATATTCATGGTTTTGTGGACCGCCCCACCTTCCCCGCGCATCGTTCAACTTACATCAGCAACGGCTGGGCTTCTCATTTGCTTCGGCTGTGTATATACTCGAAATATGTGCATATGCATGTGTGTGTGTGTGGTGTGCCTTTATATTTACTATAAACTGCCATTCGGTTGGGCTTGTTATTGGAAACTTTCACGTTTTACGCAGTATTTTGCACTTGCAACTATTTCCCTCACTTTTCTACCATTTATCACCTTTTTCTTTCTCCAAAATAGAGTTTTTCCGTATAATCGAGACTTGAAATATCGCTGGGCCGTTTTTATTCAAATTTTTTTTGTCACAACGGATTGCTTTTTGTTTGTACCGCGTTTGCACTATTCTCTTTCGTTTAGATGATTGTTTTTCTGTGAGTTTTTACAGATATTCACACAGTTTTGGCGAGGAAACGTTTTTCGTACATCTTAACGCCGCCGCAAACATTTTCGATTGAAACGGCCAGCAGTTCGTCGGAGTCAGCCTGCTGCTTGCGACGGGGCAGAGAGACAGACAGATAGAGAGAGAGAGAGAGAGCGTAGTGGCCTATGTATGCGTGTCTGTGCGTGAATGTGTTGGTGCGAAGAAGCAACAAAAGAGCGCGAGAGAACACAAGTCAGACAAAAAGAGGAGAGAGAGAGCCAGAGCGGAATAGAGGGAGTGTAAATGCGCGCGCGCAGTGTTGCTTTGGATTGGAATTCATTTGCCGTCCCGTCGCTTCTGTTGCTGCCCATGAACATATCAAATAGGGTGGCAACGCAGCAAACTACGGACACTCGGGCGCGCATTAAAAATGAGAATCGTTGCCTGTTTTCTGTTGCTGCTGTCGCTTGAGAGATGTGAGAGGAGAGGCAATAAAAAAAGTACATAACAGATGCCCCCCATGTACTTGGGACACACATATATTTGGCCCGCCTGGGTTCTTAACTGCAGTCTCTTTCAGTGGAACCGTGTGCGAGTGGAAGGAAGTTTGCTCCATGCTCTTGCATGCTAATGGACTCTGGGGTCTACAGTCCACCGATTGAGGCGAAATAAATTGAGGAAAGAAAAGATCGTCGTGAGCAGCGGCAAATGAGAAAAATAGCGCTTAGAATTTGGATAAGTAACGAATGTTCAGAGAGTCGAGTCGGATGACTGGGAAGCTTACGTAAGTGCAAAAAGCACCAACACAGTTACGGTGCGAAAGAGCCGGCACGAGAGCTTGCAAAACAAGTCGGATAATACAGGGTGATCATGGCAACATAACCCAGCGATACCCTGTTTCGTGTTGAGAGCGTGGAAAAGAGCGAAAAGAGACCCATACACAGAAAAATGTGTACTGCGGCGGTGGCGACGTCGGCGTCGATACTCTGTACATAATGAAATCGACAAAACTGAAAATCAGAAACCGAACGGACTACAGAGCAGGCTACAACTCTGCCACGGTTACACTTTGCGGCGGCAGCAGTGGCGGCACATATACACCTACTACAATCCACACCTCCACATCCACTTCGCTCACGCACACAGGCCCACACAAAACGCACACTCGCGCGTATTCGTAACCGTCTGGCGTGTGTGTGCATGTGTTTGTTTGTGTGTAACGTAGAAAGGCAGCAAAGTGCATCTCACCATGACAATGGCGGTAGAGCCGCGGCGGAACCATCATATAGTCGTCGATGGCCACCAGAGCATACTCTTCTCGTCACCAAACCCAAAAAACACATGTTGGAATCTCAATTTGCCTCTGGAAAAGGCAGGGAGAAATAAAATCTGTACACGCGAAAAATCTGACGTGGAATTGACTGCTGCTGGGGGTGGTGGTGGAAATGGAAACCTTGCAATTATCGATTATTTCGCTCATTGCGCAATGCAGACCGGACGGACCCACAAGCGAGGGAGAGCGAGAGAGGGAGAAGGAGAAGGAAAAGAGAGAGTTTAAGGGAGCGAGCTCGCTCTCGGTGGCACCTGCTATGCGGGAACGCACAGCCACTGTCGATGGCTAATGCAAATCAAGTGCATCCAAAACTTGGAGCAGCAATACGAAGCTCCTCTCTACTCTTGTCGTCGCCTCGTCTGAAAGTTCAAAGTTCACTTGCAGCTGGTGCAGCGCATGTCTAGGCCCAAGCCTGCAGTCTCCCCACTCTGATGATTGGCGCAAAAGGGACAGCCACACTCTCTGTGTGCCGCCCACGCGCTAGTTTGTGGTTCCAGTGCTGCAGGAAGGTTTGTTTGCCTTTCCAGGTATTATTGATGTTCCATGCATACGTACATAATATATATGCCGAAACATCAGTCTGATGCCAGGTGGTTCCGTGCTTTCTAATTATCCGTGTGCTAATTTTAGGTATTCGATGGAGAGTGTGGCCACATACCGACGACCAGGCCGAAGCCCCTCGCCGAAACATTACTAGAAGACACGAAACAGTCATTAAAAGCTCCACCAACAACATCCAGAACAACCAAAGCTGACCACAACACAATTCGTAAATCTGATTGGGTTGCACCCATTTTAACAGGCGAAGAGATGTGCTACTCGTCGTGCATGCATATGCAATAGGGCCAGGCCCGCCCCACAGTTTCTAATTTCATGTGTGGTCAGCAAATTATCAGATATTTTCGTTTTGTCACTTACGCCTGTGGTTTATGAGAGCCATGTGATGCTACCAATTATAACTCTTGACAAGATACCATTGCAATTGCAGCGGAAGAAGGAGCTGATTAGATGTTAATCAATAAGAGAGTTTCATAAAGACGCAGACAACAATTTGCTAATGTTAGTGGAGGATACATCTATTTGATGGATATACTACTTGTAACCATGACAATATTGGGCGCCATCGAACCCCTGACTGAAAATGTATAAAATTGTTGCAACATCTAATACAGTACTCGAAGCTCTTAGCAATGTAGTTTCTACCATAAAGTTCAAGATTTGTTCCTTGGCCTCTGGCAATTGCAAAGACAATGGCAAATTGCAGGAAATCGTCTGCGCGGCAAGTGCTTCTCGCTCCAAGCTGAGAGGGCAGAGATCGCGACGAGACCACCAATCTAGGCCCAGGCCAGAGCAGAGACCCAGGCAGGCATCTAAAACAAATACTGAGAAATGTAGTGTGTGTGTGTAAGAGTGCTGTGTGCGGTGGAGAGTTAAAAAAAATGAAGTGCGCCAACTGGTAACTTGTTTTTCAAGTTTTCAAACAGCCAAAAGCCCAAACCAGACTCGGACCCAGTCGAAACTTGACGCGCGCTTCATAAAGAAAATTGGGGGAAAACGTCTTGTGACGGCCGCAAGGAAAGCACAAAAGAATGCATTTATACAACCGTGTGTGTGTGTGTGTATGCGTCTCTCTCTCTCAATCAGCAGAGCAGCAAGCTTGATTTCAACGAATTATTTAATTAGAACTTACACAAAATCCCCAACTAACTGAAGGCTAAGCGCAGTGTGGATCACCTTGTAGCACACACACACACACACACTTACACCACGAAGAACCCGAATATATGTAGCTGGGAGAAGCTGCCAACTTGTTTTTATTTTAAACATAATAGCAATTAATATTTAATTATTGATCAATCGGATCTGAGTTATCTGCAATATTATTTCAAATAAATATAGTTATTTTAAATACCATTTAAAACCAGTTGGCAGTCTCCCTTTAAATGCAACAATAACAAAAGGTGAGCGCGCGGTAAACTCTCTGCCTCTGTTGCTCCCATACTCAATGCACGTATGTGTTTTGCTATTTTCAACATCTTCCTTTCCTTCTTATTTGTATTTATTCGAAGGCATTGTGTTTTTGCTTTTTAATTTTACTAAATCAAAGACAATTAAAAATGACTACACACACACGTGCCAACAGATTGCGGAACTTTAGTTTACCTATACATACAGATGTTCTACGAAACGAACCGAACAAAAAGGCGATAAGAAATATTTCCACAATACACACACGCATGGAACTCGCGTTATTAACAATTGTAACTGCTTTTTGCTCGGTTCAACAGCAATTTATCGGTAAATCTTGCCATTGATAAAGGAAATTCCACTTCTAACCTCAAAGCAAATAAACTGGGCTGTGAGGTAGGGTAGACAATTTTGTACGCTCCATTCTCATCCTCAAAAAAGGCCAACTGCAGCGAATGCATTATTTTTAAATAATTAATGCCAATGGAAGTTCTGTTTGCCGCCTATCGTAATCAGTTGGGACGAATTGAGGTTAGGTATGAACTTCTGGCACCCCACTCACACACACACACACACACACACAAGAACAGGGAGCATATACACGCACACAAGGGCGCGCATTTTTATATTTTTAGTTTACATACCTGAATAGTTTAAAGGCTGATTTTGTCACAGGTTGGGGCTCCTTTGTTTGTTTCACTTTCTTACAATCAGCCAACGGATGGGATGGGGTTTGCTGGATTTACAACTTTTATCTAGGTAGGGGGGCAGGGGAAAAGAAGCGCGTGAGCTTGCTGCTGCTTCTTTGCATTTGCGTTGCCACAAAGATACACATGCATGTAATTTCAGCACAGCACAGCACACACTCCCACACCCCACACACAAATGCACTCCGAATCGATTTTATGCTGCCCCAAAACACCCAAGACTCTTTCTTTATTGTATGCAACACTCGTCTCGTGCTTCAGTTTTTTGTAATTTTGTTGTAATCACAAACTCGCGTCTACTACATAGATATCATGCAAATATAAATATGTATGGTATGGGTGCCATGTGAACAGAATCTACATTTGTCGAGAGGGATATCTTTTCGCGCGCTGTGTATGCCTTTAAGTGCGAATTCTATGTTGACTTTATGTCGATTTTATGTTTATTTAATTAGTTTTCAGACTAGTGTGACCGCGGACTTATTAATAAAATATACCGCCCTGGCCCTCAGAAATATAGCAAAATATACCGTAAATATACCGAAAAAAAAAATAGCGTAGCCCACTTAACCCCGCTCCATTTAAACAGTTGAACAAATTGAGTTAACTTCTACCTGAACTGAGCTAAAATTCTTCAAGTTCCACTATATTCGTGCGAATAGCTCTGAACACGAAAAGAGAAGGAACCTTTGTATGGGAGTATCGATACAAAATATCCAGAAAAGTGTTACAGGGTATTTGTATATTATAAACTACTCTTGATTTGTGTACAGTATGCCCGTGGCTCGCGTAAATACCTTTGAAACTCCATCCCGGATTACCGCAAAATATAAAAATACCAACTGAATTGCTTATGGGATTCAGAAACGCTCTTCACGTATACAGTTCTTAGATTATATCTATTTCAAATAGCTTTTATTTATTTTTAGCAATCGAATAATGAGTTTTAGTTTAAAAATATGTTTGAATTCGATTCCATGAATTTATAATGTAATTGCAGCCCTGAAGGAATGCCAACTTATTTTTTGACTGAAAATCTATATTTAAGGCAAGTTGGCGGGGCCACTACAATGTTATTGAATATTTGTTATTTTTTATTATTATTTAAATCAATTTAAACGGTTAATAAAAGCATGGCACTATCTGTCTTGATCTATATACAATGCAATTGAATAACTAACAATAAGCCAAATAAATTGCGACAATCTAAACCACCACCAAGCCCCGCCTAAAAGAAAAATAGCGGATCGTGTGAGAGCAAGAGAGGAAAACGGTATTTGTGGCGCTCTTTCTCTCCGTCCTCTCTGTGGCCCCAACTAGGGGCCCCACACTCATTGTCGTCGTAGTTTTGGAGCCAAGTGAATCTGTCGACTACTGCCGCTCTGGGAGTCCCGTTCCGTCTGCAGCAGCGTCAGGTTTGAAAGATTCGTTCGTCGCCGCCTTCCATCGCGTACACACTCGTCGCCTACGTCTACGTGCCATTTGTTTTTCGAAAAATCTGCATAAATTCGACGCGTCCGTCTGAAACTGCATAAAAATAGCAGAAGCCAGCAAGGCGAAAATATATTTCGGCTTAACAAGTGTGTGGCGCGCGATTGGCTCGTTTATTGTTAATACAGCAGAAACAGGAAATCTGCTGTCGTCGTCGTCGTCGTTGTTGGGTGTTCACTGTGCATTTAAAGTTATCATTTTTAACGTGTGTGCCCGGCCGCTGGTGTGCCAATAGTAGGAAATTCTCTAGCCAGGCCAGTGCATATAAATATATCTAAAATCCATCTAATTATAAATTTAAAAAAAAATCCCATCAACTCTATCACACACTGAATGTCCGAGAATAAAGGCATCATGCTGGCCAAATCTGTTCAAAAACACGCTGGACGTGCCAAGGAGAAGGTGAGTGCAAAGAAATGGCCCTTTGGGGGGCAGCTCACAGCTGCAGATGCAGTTGCAATTGCAGTTGCAGGTGGCATACGGCGCACCAATGCCCACGCATGGGGGTGGGTGGGGGGTTAGGTAGCACTCGCATTTGGCCACGCCTACACGCAACTGCTGTTCCTCACCCCCGCGTGTTATCCTCGTCATATTTACTACATTCCAGCCAAAGCTAAAGCCATGTCCCTGCCCCAGTTCCTAGCTGGGTCAACAACACACACACACAGGCGTGCAGCAGGCAGGGCTTCTCCATCGATTTCCAGTCATTCCATTCAGATCTCTGCCAAAAGAAATTAGGCAAAAACCTCTACAAGGCGGGGGGGAAATACCTTCTATTAGTAGTGGGAACTGCAGAGGGAGCTTTCACTGTAGCTGGCAGCGGGGAGAATCATCAGACACCTGTCGTGGGACCCAGTCCAATCTGTTTAATATCCGATTCCAGTTTTCTGATTTCTGATTTTCATCTTAAGTACTCCCTTCCAATCCAATCCAATCCCATCGAATCCATTCATGAGGTGCGATTGTTGCGCGGTTACTTTACTGATTTTCTGCCTGTGGACTTGGACTCTGTTTCATCTTGCCCGCAAGATGCGTACAAGTGAAAGTTTTTGTAGTTTTTGTTATTATTATATTCGTTTCGTGGAGGTTCGGTTCGGTTGGGTTCGAACCAGCGAAATGTCAATAAAAAGTGGAGGAAAACCAGAGGAGACAGAGCCCAAACAATGTGTAAAAGCTGACCCACTCGATGGGTTTTGTGCCAAACAAGTTTAGATGCCAGCTCCAGCCCCAGCCCCAGCCCCGGCTTCAGCGCATTCCACACTACCACAGCGGCTGCCAGAGTCCAGAGATGTTCGAGCTGGTTGGTGTTGGGGTTTTTGGGTCTGGTGTTTGAGGTCTGAAAAATGTTGTAATCTAGCGGTGAGAAATGCTGCTGCTCTACGCTACGGATGTGTCTGTGCGAGATGCTGGCATTTAGAGTGGATGGGATGGGATCTTCAAAGTTCGTTGATATTTCCTCTGCTTCTTCTGTGTGCTTTTTGTTGTTATTGTTGTTGTTGTTGTTGTTGTTGTTGGGATGCGATCTATTGCGATGGATGGCTCGTGTTGGTCATTAAACTTGGAACCGAAACATTCCCCAGCTAAATGTCATCTAGAGAATAGAGATATTTTTAAAGTAACCGATTTAGATTTCTCTCTCTCCCTCTTTGTCTCTGTTTCTCGTTGTTTCTCCTTATTGCAAATTGATTGCAATCGATGAAATTCACTTGCTGATATTCTCTGCACATTTTCTTTTAGTAAAATTTCATAATTTACGCTCAAATGGGAAATTATTTTTATAACAAATCCCGTTCTTGTTCTCTGGGCTGCTGCTGCTGCTGCTCTATTATTTCGCATGGTGTGTGCTCAATTTTCGGAAAATTTCATGTGCTGTGTGATTTTTCACATCGAGATGAGCACGAAAATTGTTTTAGAGAAAACTTGTCAAGCACACACACACACACACACACACACACAAACACACTTAGAGATGGCGATGCCTAGATAGATATTTATTTGAGGTGCGTTTGGATGCCATGCCTCAACAACTGTTGGCTTTTCCCCCGGCATCAGCATCAGCACCAGCACCAGCACAGTCACCATCCCAGCCGCGTGAAAATGTCGCTTTTCCTCCTGGCAGTCAATCTTTAAATAGACGCGACGCACTCTTTTACTCTGTGTGTGTGTTGGCTTTTGTTTTATAACTCTATGCATACTTTTCTTTAGTTTTTCTATTTTGCAAAAAAACAAGAGACAAATACAACACAACATTTCGCCCGCACTGCTTCTCTAGCTTCAGCCATTAGCTCGCTCTTTGGCTATTTTTAAGCGGCGGTGGCACCGCACGGAACAGCTGCCAAAAATTGCTCTTTCGTTCTCAGTTCCCCCCCATCCCTTTCCTCTGCATCTAAATATCTAGCCGAATGTCTCAACGATTGACATTTTATTGGCATCTTCGATCCGAACCGAACGGATCCCCATGCAGAAACTCAAACTTGCCTCTTGCTTGTTGAACTTCTCTTCTTGTGGCATTCCCCACTAAATGTCATTTGTTTTCCTTCGCCTGCTTTATTTATACACAGATTTCAATGCGAATTTCGTTGTTAACTTGCAATTAGTGGAATTCTTGCAGATAAATATAGAATTTGGGCCATAAAAGAGTAGTTGTAGCTGTTGTTGTCTCCTTTCTAAACATCTAAATATCGTTATTAATTGTTAAATAAAAGCAACTGCAGTTTGTGCAAGCAATTTACAAGCAGTTGTCTGCGAAATCAGTGCATTAATCCTGAAAGAAGTAGAGCAAGCTGTTCGTATGCGACAGCAAGGGAACTGCTTGGTGTGGTCATTGCTAATAAATGTGCCTGTATTAAGCAGTAAATTAATCCTTAAAGCAGTATAATTTTCCTCACTAACGATTATAAATAATAAGCAGTTTATTTACTCTGTTTTTGTTTATTCCTCGTAATTGTGTATTTTAAAACCGTGCAATAATACGTCCGTGCTGCGTAACTCTAAACCGCAAAGATTCGCAGGAAAATAATCAAACTTGACCAGACAATACTCGGAAATATTCGTATTTTGCGGCAGACTTCAAGAGGGCAATGCAACAAAAACGAAATAAAAAAAAAAACTCGCACACACCTGACACTGCATTTTGAGTGTGCGCGGAGAGACGTTCTAATGTTTCAGATAAACAATATGTGAACCGGAGCTGGAGCTGGTTGCTGGTGGCTGGTGCTGGGGCGCGAATAATTATCAGTACGGTCTACGCCCCGCCACTGAGCCACTCCGAAAAGGGGGGCGTGCAGCACAGACAGATCGCTTACTAAGCTTTATTCAATCGAGCAGAGAGCAGACGACGCAATGCAAGCGGCAAAAAGAGACATACATACACAGAGATACAGCTATACTCGTAGTATAATAATGTGATTGTGAAATCAATTCAAAAGCTTATTTAAAAAAAAAAAAAAAAAAAAAAGTGTTCAATTATTGAAATTACCAAGAGGCAGACTGCGAAAGTGAAGAGCGAGGCAATATGTCTTTTATGTCACTTTTGATTGTATAACAATTGGAATTACTTCACTTTAGCTCGAGATATTGCTTCATTAATGCACAATTGTCCAGATAGAGCAAAGAGAGAGAGAGAGCAATGAGAGAGAGAATGGATGACACTCCATTGGGTGTGAAGTTCAAGTGTTCGTCTGGAAAATGAATCCCAGCGCAGCTTCTTGACCCTCTCTCACCTTTTGCCAAGTTCTGATATATTTTGTAGGCTCTCTTAGCACCAAAATACAAAACAAAAAATAACAAAACACACACGTAGAAAGGAAAGCAAACTTTTGGAAAATTTGTGAGTGTTGTGCGTGCGAGTGTGTGTGTGTGTGTGTGTTTGTGTCTATGAGGCGCGTGAAAATGCGCAAGGTCAATTACTGTGTCGATGTCGATGACTAGAGTCCAAACGAACGCACATCGAAAACACTTCTACCAATATAATGGAACGTATAGGTAATTTTTTTTTTTTATTAGCTCACTCACTCGACACATTCGTAGTCGGGGGCACACGATTTGCTAATCAGAATTTGAACAAAAACATTCACACGCCGAATGCGAATGGGAATGGGAATGAATGGGATTCACCTTGTGGAATCAAGCGCAGGAGATTATTCGGAGTGTGCTAAGGTACTCCCATAAAACCTATACCTGCGACTCTTGAGTAAGTTTGTAAACTTATGAATTGCAAGTGTTTATGTACAATATTGTTTACTATTGTTTGGGGATATATGTATGTATGTATACATATACTTTGTAGCTGAAGAAAACTTCGAGAGAGATTCCAGCGAGATGTTTAGGAAATCCCCCGAGCAATACCTAGAAGCATCTCACACATTTTGAGGTTTGCTTGTTGGCTAGTGGATTATTCACTCTGATATTCTGTGTTGATTATTCATGAATATGCTGGCGCTGTGACTTTTATTCATATGAGAAGTGAATAAGACGAATATGCGGCTCTTTTCTAGCTGAATAATCGGAATCTGGGCGAATCTGGGTGTTTGCATGCACCTGTTTTGGTTGCACTGGTGTCGGATCCACTTGAGTGCCTGAGACATGAGCTTCGCATCGCATCGCATCTCCGGCCGGGGTAACAGTGTGTCTGTCATGGGTGCAACGTTTCGGTGCAAGTATCAGATTCGTGGCGTTGCCTGCATGCGGAAGTAATGCCGGGCGGGAAAAGAGAAAACTCGGCCAGAACAAAAGATGCAGTCCCCAGTCGCAGTGCAGTCCCAGTCGCAGTCGCAGTCCCAGTCCCGAACAGATCCGAAAACAGATCCCCAAACAGATACAGAGGACTGCACACGCGATCTGTTGTTGTTGTTCTACTTTGAACTGCAGCAACAACAAAATGACGCCACTCTCGGGGGCATGAGCACACCCTGTCCTCTGTCCCCTGTCCCCTGTCCCCTGTGCCTGTTCCGTGCGAAAGTGTTGCCTTTTTTTTTTTATTATTACTGTTGTTTTAGGTAGATAGAAAACAGGTTTCGCGCTTAAACTGCGCTTCAGCTTACGCAAGCAGTAAATTATAATTTATGCATATAATATTTAAATTTAGATACTCGTTTAAATGGAAATGCAGCCAGGCAGCCACCCTCCAGCTAATTGAGTCGCTGGAAAACTTTCTTTTACTCAAACTTCCACCAAAAACAAAGCTAAAAGGCAGCCGAATGTTACGCAAATATTGATGCATTTTTAGATGAATTATTCCGTTTTCATTTACATCATTTTGGGTGTGTCGCATCCACAGTTGGCAAACGGGAAGGAATATCTTTTGGTCCATGTACCAAACAATAAAATTTATGTGCAAGATCCGTGTATGCCCCATCTTTGTGCCCTCTAAACTTGAACAGAACTGGCAACTTAATTGGCAC